AGCGGACAGCGGAAAGCGGAGAGCGGAGAGCGGAGAGCGGGAAGCGGACAGTGGACAGCGGCAAGCGGACAGCGGCAAGCGGACAGCGGCAAGCGGACAGCGGACAGCGAGAAGCGCACAGCGGGAAGCGGACAGCGGACAGCGGCAAGCGGACAGCGGCAAGCGGACAGCGGCAAGCGGACAGCGGCAAGCGGACAGCGGACAGCGGCAAGCGGACAGCGGAAAGCGGGAAGCGGACAGCGGAGAGCGGGAAGCGGACAGCGAGAAGCGCACAGCGGGAAGCGGACAGCGGACAGCGGCAAGCGGACAGCGGCAAGCGGACAGCGAGAAGCGCGCAGCGGGAAGCGGACAGCGGACAGCGGCAAGCGGACAGCGGCAAGCGGACAGCGGCAAGCGGACAGCGGCAAGCGGACAGCGGCAAGCGGACAGCGGCAAGCGGACAGCGGACAGCGAGAAGCGCACAGCGGACAGCGGCAAGCGGACAGCGGCAAGCGGACAGCGGCAAGCGGACAGCGGCAAGCGGACAGCGGCAAGCGGACAGCGGACAGCGGCAAGCGGACAGCGGCAAGCGGACAGCGGCAAGCGGACAGCGGCAAGCGGACAGCGGCAAGCGGACAGCGGACAGCGAGAAGCGCACAGCGGGAAGCGGACAGCGGACAGCGGCAAGCGGACAGCGGCAAGCGGACAGCGGCAAGCGGACAGCGGCAAGCGGACAGCGGCAAGCGGACAGCGGACAGCGGCAAGCGGACAGCGGCAAGCGGACAGCGGCAAGCGGACAGCGGCAAGCGGACAGCGGCAAGCGGACAGCGGACAGCGAGAAGCGCACAGCGGGAAGCGGACAGCGGACAGCGGCAAGCGGACAGCGGCAAGCGGACAGCGGCAAGCGGACAGCGGACAGCGGCAAGCGGACAGCGGAAAGCGGGAAGCGGACAGCGGAGAGCGGGAAGCGGACAGCGGAAAGCGGGAAGCGGACAGCGGAGAGCGGGAAGCGGACAGCGAGAAGCGCACAGCGGGAAGCGGCAAGCGGACAGCGGCAAGCGGACAGCGGCAAGCGGACAGCGGACAGCGGCAAGCGGACAGCGGAAAGCGGAGAGCGGAGAGCGGAGAGCGGGAAGCGGACAGTGGACAGCGGCAAGCGGACAGCGGCAAGCGGACAGCGGCAAGCGGACAGCGGACAGCGAGAAGCGCACAGCGGGAAGCGGACAGCGGACAGCGGCAAGCGGACAGCGGCAAGCGGACAGCGGCAAGCGGACAGCGGCAAGCGGACAGCGGACAGCGGCAAGCGGACAGCGGAAAGCGGGAAGCGGACAGCGGAGAGCGGGAAGCGGACAGCGAGAAGCGCACAGCGGGAAGCGGACAGCGGACAGCGGCAAGCGGACAGCGGCAAGCGGACAGCGAGAAGCGCGCAGCGGGAAGCGGACAGCGGACAGCGGCAAGCGGACAGCGGCAAGCGGACAGCGGCAAGCGGACAGCGGCAAGCGGACAGCGGCAAGCGGACAGCGGCAAGCGGACAGCGGACAGCGAGAAGCGCACAGCGGGATGCGGACAGCGGCAAGCGGACAGCGGCAAGCGGACAGCGGACAGCGGCAAGCGGACAGCGGAAAGCGGGAAGCGGACAGCGGAGAGCGGGAAGCGGACAGCGGAAAGCGGGAAGCGGACAGCGGAGAGCGGGAAGCGGACAGCGAGAAGCGCACAGCGGGAAGCGGACAGCGGACAGCGGCAAGCGGACAGCGGCAAGCGGACAGCGGCAAGCGGACAGCGGCAAGCGGACAGCGGACAGCGGCAAGCGGACAGCGGAAAGCGGGAAGCGGACAGCGGAGAGCGGGAAGCGGACAGCGAGAAGCGCACAGCGGGAAGCGGACAGCGGACAGCGGCAAGCGGACAGCGGCAAGCGGACAGCGAGAAGCGCGCAGCGGGAAGCGGACAGCGGACAGCGGCAAGCGGACAGCGGCAAGCGGACAGCGGCAAGCGGACAGCGGCAAGCGGACAGCGGCAAGCGGACAGCGGCAAGCGGACAGCGGCAAGCGGACAGCGGACAGCGAGAAGCGCACAGCGGGATGCGGACAGCGGCAAGCGGACAGCGGCAAGCGGACAGCGGACAGCGGCAAGCGGACAGCGGAAAGCGGGAAGCGGACAGCGGAGAGCGGAGAGCGGGAAGCGGACAGTGGACAGCGGCAAGCGGACAGCGGCAAGCGGACAGCGGCAAGCGGACAGCGGCAAGCGGACAGCGGCAAGCGGACAGCGGCAAGCGGACAGCGGACAGCGAGAAGCGCACAGCGGGAAGCGGACAGCGGACAGCGGCAAGCGGACAGCGGCAAGCGGACAGCGGACAGCGAGAAGCGCACAGCGGGAAGCGGACAGCGGACAGCGGCAAGCGGACAGCGGACAGCGGCAAGCGGACAGCGGAAAGCGGGAAGCGGACAGCGGAGAGCGGGAAGCGGACAGCGAGAAGCGCACAGCGGGAAGCGGACAGCGGACAGCGGCAAGCGGACAGCGGCAAGCGGACAGCGGCAAGCGGACAGCGAGAAGCGCGCAGCGGGAAGCGGACAGCGGACAGCGGCAAGCGGACAGCGGCAAGCGGACAGCGGACAGCGGCAAGCGGACAGCGGCAAGCGGACAGCGGCAAGCGGACAGCGGCAAGCGGACAGCGGACAGCGAGAAGCGCACAGCGGGAAGCGGACAGCGGAGAGCGGGAAGCGGACAGCGAGAAGCGCACAGCGGGAAGCGGACAGCGGACAGCGGCAAGCGGACAGCGGCAAGCGGACAGCGGCAAGCGGACAGCGGCAAGCGGACAGCGGACAGCGGACAGCGGGAAGCGGACAGCGGACAGCGGCAAGCGGACAGCGGCAAGCGGACAGCGGACAGCGGCAAGCGGACAGCGGCAAGCGGACAGCGGCAAGCGGACAGCGGCAAGCGGACAGCGGACAGCGAGAAGCGCACAGCGGGAAGCGGACAGCGGAGAGCGGGAAGCGGACAGCGAGAAGCGCACAGCGGGAAGCGGACAGCGGACAGCGGCAAGCGGACAGCGGCAAGCGGACAGCGGCAAGCGGACAGCGGACAGCGGACAGCGGGAAGCGGACAGCGGACAGCGGCAAGCGGACAGCGGCAAGCGGACAGCGGCAAGCGGACAGCGGACAGCGAGAAGCGCACAGCGGGATGCGGACAGCGGCAAGCGGACAGCGGCAAGCGGACAGCGGCAAGCGGACAGCGGCAAGCGGACAGCGGACAGCGGAAAGCGGAGAGCGGAGAGCGGGAAGCGGACAGTGGACAGCAGCAGCAGCAGCGGGCTTTTTTTTTTCTTTTTTTTTTTTCTTTTTTTTTTTTCTTTTTTTATTTAATTCTCTTTCCTTTTACAGTTTCGAGCTTTCGCTCATCTCTGTCTTTTGTCTCTAATTTTTCTATTTCCCTACTTTTATGTTTAAGGAGCCTTTTATTCAAACTTTATTCTTTACTTCTTAACTTTATTCTTTATTTCAATTTGTTTCTCTTTTTATTCTAATTTGTTCCCTTCTTTTTCTCATTCTTTTTTCTTTTTCAGAATGTGGGTCTCTCAGCCGACATCAGCAGCAGCGGTCAGCGGGCAGCAGCAGCAGCAGCAGCGGGAACCAGCAGCAGCAGCGGACAGCGGCAAGCGGACAGCGGACAGCGGGAAGCGGACAGCGGACAGCGGGAAGCGGACAGCGGACAGCGGGAAGCGGACAGCTGGAAGCGGGAAGCGGACAACGGACAGCGGGAAGCGGACAGCGGCAAGCGGACAGCGGACAGCGGCAAGCGGAGAGCGGAGAGCGGGAAGCGGACAGTGGACAGCAGCAGCAGCAGCGGGCTTTTTTTTTTCTTTTTTTTTTTTTTTTTTTTTTTTTTCTTTTTTTTATTTAATTCTCTTTCCTTTTACAGTTTCGAGCTTTCGCTCATCTCTGTCTTTTGTCTCTAATTTTTCTATTTCCCTACTTTTATGTTTAAGGAGCCTTTTATTCAAACTTTATTCTTTACTTCTTAACTTTATTCTTTATTTCAATTTGTTTCTCTTTTTATTCTAATTTGTTCCCTTCTTTTTCTCATTCTTTTTTCTTTTTCAGAATGTGGGTCTCTCAGCCGACATCAGCAGCAGCGGTCAGCGGGCAGCAGCAGCAGCAGCAGCGGGAACCAGCAGCAGCAGCGGACAGCGGCAAGCGGACAGCGGACAGCGGGAAGCGGACAGCGGACAGCGGGAAGCGGACAGCGGACAGCGGGAAGCGGACAGCTGGAAGCGGGAAGCGGACAACGGACAGCGGGAAGCGGACAGCGGCAAGCGGACAGCGGCAAGCGGACAGCGGACAGCGAGAAGCGCACAGCGGGATGCGGACAGCGGCAAGCGGACAGCGGCAAGCGGACAGCGGCAAGCGGACAGCGGACAGCGGCAAGCGGAGAGCGGAGAGCGGGAAGCGGACAGTGGACAGCAGCAGCAGCAGCGGGCTTTTTTTTTTTCTTTTTTTTTTTTCTTTTTTTTATTTAATTCTCTTTCCTTTTACAGTTTCGAGCTTTCGCTCATCTCTGTCTTTTGTCTCTAATTTTTCTATTTCCCTACTTTTATGTTTAAGGAGCCTTTTATTCAAACTTTATTCTTTACTTCTTAACTTTATTCTTTATTTCAATTTGTTTCTCTTTTTATTCTAATTTGTTCCCTTCTTTTTCTCATTCTTTTTTCTTTTTCAGAATGTGGGTCTCTCAGCCGACATCAGCAGCAGCGGTCAGCGGGCAGCAGCAGCAGCAGCAGCGGGAACCAGCAGCAGCAGCGGACAGCGGCAAGCGGACAGCGGACAGCGGGAAGCGGACAGCGGACAGCGGGAAGCGGACAGCGGACAGCGGGAAGCGGACAGCTGGAAGCGGGAAGCGGACAACGGACAGCGGGAAGCGGACAGCGGGAAGCGGACAGCGGACAGCGGGAAGCGGACAGCGGACAGCGGACAGCGGACAGCGGGAAGCGGACAGCGTGAAGCGAACAGCGGACAGCGGACAGCGGACAGCGTGAAGCGGACGGCGGACTCTAGTGCTACCGGCATTTCGTGCACACATAGCACGGAACGAAACCAGAAATTGTGCACATTATACCCTCTGAGAACATTGATGAACCTTGGCTTTGTAGTTTATGTCCACATTTCAATGTCCATAGAGGGAGTATCGCTTTCAGGGTTCACCTAAAAGCTGGCCATGACATCTCTCTTCTCTCTGATTGTGCAATGGTTATTAATGGCGCGTAGTACGAAAAAGTTAAGAGAGGTTAGGTTCAGTTAGTTTAGGTTAAGTGATCATCTCGCGTACAGGAGTAAACAATTGTACAAGGATAATGCGTCTCACATTTTGACCGTTTTGAAGGGATGCGATCCGTCAACATGCTTTCGCGAATCATGAGGGGCGTTCTTGCATGGAATAAGGATTTCGCATTGTTGAAACGATCACCGTTTAAAATTGCAGGTCCTGCGTCAGATCGGACGAGTTACATTCGCGACTTTCATACCAGCAGATTCCGGAGTAAAGATAATAAAGAGGATGACAAGTCGTCAGCTCTCGTGCTACACGCCTTCGCGAACGCCGAGAGGAAGGAAAAGGAAGCCTATTTAGACATAATCCGGGAATACAAGAACAACAACGAGCTTAGGCGAGGTCACGTGGAATTTATTCAGGTCGCCCTGAAATACATGGACGATTTTGGCGTGAATCGGGATTTGGCCGTGTACAAAGTCCTATTGGACGTGCTTCCCAAGGGCAAATTTGTCCCTACTAACGCTTTTCAAACCCTTTTCATGCATTATCCTAAACAGCAGTACGTAGCCATTGACTTGCTGTGCAAAATGGAGAAAAATTGCGTGATACCGGACGTGGAGATGCAGGACATGTTGCTGAACATCTTCGGGAAACACGGCGCGCCGCTGAAGAAGTTTTGGAGAATGATGTACTGGATGCCCAAGTTTGCCAATTTGAATCCCTGGCCTTGTGCCAGACCGGCACCCAAGGATCCACGAATACTTGCAAGATTGGCGATAAGCAAGATATCTAGTGTAGATGTACAGACTAAGATCGTGGAGTTTGAGACCAAGGACATAGAAGATGCTATCGAGGATACATGGATTGTATCTGCCATGAGTAGTATACAAGAAAGACTATTAGAAACGCAATCTCCTAACAGTCCAGTTTGTGTCGAAGGACCATATACAGTTTGGGTCGTGGATCAGTGTATAGACTATTTTGTGCTCAGAGGAGAATCTAGAAAACACAATGAGTATGAAGATATCGATGGTAAATAATTGCTTGTTAATTGTCCATTAATCTAATGATAAGTCACAAAATTTATATAATTTTATATCAGTTTGATATAAAACAAGTTAATTATTTGTATAATTAATTGTATAGCAATTGTACAAATGTTCAATCTAAGCTTGACTGTTTACTAGGAAAATACTATTGCACATATTTTTCTTTAATGCATATTCTTTTTTTCTTATAGACGTTTCAAATATTAAAATCCCCTTCTGGGATGAAAAGGAAATAGTGCCTGCACCTACAGTCCATGAGCAAAACGATGGCACATACTTTGCAATGTGCGCTACAGGTACATCTACAAAAGATTCTTTGTTGTCCTGGATACGATGTCTGCAAAAACAGAATCCTATTTTGAATGTAATCCCGGTAATATTCAAAGTGTCGTCGTTCTCGAAGGAACAGCTGTACATCGATACTGAAAAGAGCAAGGATAAAGTGATGCATGTAAAAGAATAATGTCCAGGTATAAGTGACTAGACTATTAAAGATCAAATAGTGATATCATCAATATAAAATGATGCATATATATGTAAATAGTTCTTTAATTTATATATAAAAACAATATATAACATTTGTTAATAACTCAAATTTCTATAAATTGACCGAATAATTTAAACACTTTTGATATCTTTACAGATATACATGACTTAAAAAAAGATTTTTTTTCATCATATTAAAAATATTTAATTGTTGATTGACGTCAATAGATTATATTAACTAGAAAAACAGAAATATATACATATAAAAATAAAACACATGATACATAGAAAGATATAATTTATTCTGTGCAACCGCATATTAATCGGTGCATCTGTTCAATGATACGAATTAAAATTTTATAATATATATAATCGCTGGTCGATAAATCATCACATTGATTCGCTGTACTGTCGTTCATTTCCTAAAAATACATTGCAATTAAAATATGTGTGTATATAAATATAAATATATATATATACATACATATTTGTACAATTTCCAGTATTCTATAACTACAGAATTTCATTTTCAATGTAATCCCAGTAGTATTCAAAATAGCATCGTCCACGAAGAATTGCTTTAAACAACTACTTTATCGATACGTTAAGTTTAAGCTGCCTTAAAGAGAGAAAAACAAGGAAAAGAAATACAATCGCGACAATGATACATCGCAAGATAAATATGCAAAAAATACGTAATAGAGAGCAATTCTCTCGCGAATCTATATACAGCTATATAAATCTATGATATGTCATTATTTAAAGAAATAAATTACACCTGTGCATAAATCTGTTATGTAATTTTTACGTCAAGGAATCTAATTTTCCTTAGAAAAGAATGATCAAAGTGTAATTTTTCATAAAATAGAACATGTATTGCATCATTTCCTAGCTGCATAACATTGAAGTTTCTATGATAAGCGAGGACGAATGCGAATGTTGTAGCACCGATGAATCTTTTTTTATAGCTAGACTATATGGATAGAACGCGTTGTGTGGCTACTTGTAGTGCCGTTTGTGTTGCTATAATCGCATCAATTATATCTCACGCTTGCAGCGAAAAATTTATCTATGTCTACAATTTTCCACGACGCAAAATAGCACCAGCTTAAAATACTAAAAATAGAAGACGTGCCGTCTATCACGATCAATTGTGAATGTTTTCTGTGAATATCAATTGCGAATATCATCATAAATCGCAGAAAGGCGTTTAGGCAAATATGCATATTTCGATACTGGAGAGCACAAGTGTGCGAGGAAAAATGTTGATTTAAAATCAAAATATGTTTTTTTATACTTATTTTTTTCTATCTATTTCGATTTTAGCTTCGCTTTTTAATTTGTTTCCTTAATCAAAATATATATTTGCACATAAACATTCGCGGTTCATAGATAATCCACGTTTTATATATTTCATTACACATCTTTTCACTGTAGTTAATGTACAAATATCCTAATCTAAATATCTGCGCGAATAAAAATCTATCTAGAAACAATCAAATTTAATTACTAGTAATATCCCGATTTTGAAATTAAGTTTATATAGCTAAAGTTTATAAAGCCCAAAACCTTCCTGTACAATTCAAGCACCATCTTTGTATTCTGATTGTCTTTACACAAAAAACTGTTAGAAATATAAAAAAAAAGCTTAGCGAGTTGTAAGAATGTTTGCGTTCACGCTTAAATTAATGCGCGTGGTAACGTTAATTATTACTTAAATTTATTACATAATACAGTATTGCAATTACTATTGATTGAAAATTTATCGTTAAAATAAACTTACAATCAATAATGGGATATAGGTGTAATAAATTTAAGTAATGTTCTGTCTATTATTACTTTAAATTTACTCTACACAGGCATCGATAATATAAAACGTTTTAAGTACAAAATATAAAAGTACAATCGGCCTGATTATACCATCGTCAATTTTTTTTGCATCGCGTGATAAATGCAATTTCTGGATGGGTTTTTAATAAACGCCCCGATGGTGAACCGATAACAAGGATTGTACCATTGCACTTTTCCGATTTTTAGAAAAGTTATTTGCACAATAGTTTTTTATCGAGATTTTTTTTGCTTGCTAGTTGCAATAGGAACAGAATATATTAAATATAAAACTATATAGATTTTGCGGAAGTATAATATCTTTTTAGGCACGTTACCAATAAAATAGTATCGGAAAATAATTGTATATGAAAATGCTTAAAACTATAAATACAATATCTTCTCGATTTGTCTCTTGTTAAATAAATGTGCGAGCGATTAGTACGGAATCGACAGGTGCGCGAATTTTAATTGTAATCTGTTTCAATTTTTAGGCATCGCGCAAACCAGACCGCAATAGTAATATACCATTTCTTTAATTAATGTTTCGTATCTTAGGCAGCATCTTTTAAACTTGTCCAATCAATACATATAAAATTGATTCATCAGCGTCACCGCGATTTACACAGCGCTCTGAAAGGTGGTATGTTCGATATTCTTAAAAAGCACATAAAAAGTAAAACAGTCATATTAAACGAAATAAAAGTTAAATATATCATTTCTGCACACGAAATTCTACATATATGCATGATGTGAATCGAGGTATGTCGCTGTGTCAATAACAGAATATATATTACGCTACTTCTTATCAAGGATTATTTTTAAAAAATCAAATTTTTTAAAAATAATGGAAAGACGTACGTAACATAAAATGATTTGTATTGTATTACGTATATCCTTGGAAATATTAGCATAATCAAAGAGTTTGTCTTTCTCCCTCTTTTTTGTATTCTTTTCGTATAAGAAAACACGTAGGAAAATGACGAATAAACTTCTTTGACCAACCTAATATATATGTATACATATATACCGTACTGCAAGATAATCTCGCTAGAATAGATGACAGGGCAAGATAAAGGAACTTTAACGCTTTCGAGAGCGTCGCGCAACGGGATCGCGACCTTAAAATCCAACCGTTTGACGACCTCGTTCAGCTTAATATTCACATGGAACAAGTGAAGCAGGTCGTTTCCCGAGTTGATTCTTGAGCTCGTCTCGTGTAAACCTTCAGTAGTTGGCAGTGTACTCTGTATGTAATACAGACATATTTAGGATAAAGTTTAATTTGATCCTTAAATAGATAAGTTTAAAATCAAATAGAAATCATCATGCAAAGAAAATCTTCAAGATCCTACTGTTTTATTAATGATTTCAAAACTCTAACGAAACAATTCCTTTATAGTATTAGCTATATTATCAGTAATATTAATAAGTATAGTTTTTTCAAAGAAGCAAAATAATACATATTCGCACATATTTCTGATTTTAATTCTCCAATGCACTTTGAGGAATAGAATAGTTATATATATGTATCTATACATTTAACGATTTTTTAAATCATTTTTTATCAGATTGAAAAATATTGTTTTATAGAAAGATATTTTATTTTATTATACATTTATGAGATTATACGAATACTATAAGAGGATATTATGTGTAGTTATTATATATTATATTTTTCAAATAATAAATTATTTTTGGATATCTTTAGATAAATTAAAAATTACTAGATATAGTACATACATTAAAGGATCATGATACCGGTCCGCATCAGTACATGCGTACTGATAATCTGAATATTATCGCGTATTATTTACTTGCCTGATTTTTACATTGATGTTGTCGAGCACTTCACCGTCACAGTTCCATACACTGAGTCGAGAGTTTGAACGAACTTGATTCACTTCGTTTTCGAATTGCAGTGTTGGCAGAGAACGGAATGTGAATTCTCTTGCTCGATAGACCTCGACAAACGGTAACTCGTACTGCAAAAAAATAATTTTTTGCAAGTTTAATACATTTTTAAAAATATTTATTTTTAAATTAAAATATATCACATAATGTAATATAAATAAATAATCTAAATTTTAAAAACAGTGCAATCTTTATACAAAATTTTTACAAAATATTGTTTATTATTTATTATTATATTTTGTGAAAAAAATTTTTTATTTTATATGAAAAAATATACGATTTAATCTTTATAATCGCATTGTCTATTTAAATGTTGGGCAATTTTATTAACTGTAATGATCGATTTAACTACCAGTCTATTAAAGGGTCAAGTAAAGAAAATCAATGATTAATTGGTCGAATAAATGATTCACATACCAAAGTCTTTCGTTTGCTAGATAGCCTGAGTAGTAATCTGATATTGTTTATTAGAGACGTGTGTCGGATTAGAATCACGTCTACGCAGCCGTCGCCTATATGACAGTGAGGACTAAAACCCATGGGACTTCTCGAGCATGCGCAAGATACATTCGCGCCGTTCACCATGAAAAATTTTCCACTGACTGTCACCCATCCTTTTCACGGATGAAAAAGTATATATTATTATTTTATATATATTTATTAAATCTGTGCAACTTTTTAATTATTAAATCTATATAATCAAATTTTACTTTTATCAATTTTTTAACACGTACTGGTGATTTCCTCGTCGGGAACGCTATTGTGCATGTGTTGCAGACAACGTAAACAGTTTTTCATGCATCTGGTGCTACTTGCAGGATGACACGGGTCCGACAGCAGTTCAATCTCACCCTCGTAACCCTTATTTGCGATTATTTTTTTAAATCCTGGAAAAAAATATAAATCATTTAATATCAAGTATTTTGTATTTTTTGTATATGTGTGTGTAATATGTTATTTAATTATTTAATACATAAACATAGTTATTATATACTAAATTATCTAATCTTTCATGTTCAAATTGATATAGATTAGACAATTAATTAATTAAATTGTTATATAATTCAAGTTTTAGATTTTTTTACTGTGTATAGTCATAAATGAAACAAATTAAAATTTCTAAACATTACCGGACCAATCGTATCTGCGAGGCCCCATCCAGCGAAATTTTTCACTATCGCGGATTACATCGCCCAGATAGCCGTAACTAAGCACGCTGGCGTACAATCTGAGCAAGGTTCGATTGCTATGGACCGATGAAATATCCAGACCGATCGAATCGCCGAAAATGATGTGTATAGCAGCGGTCTGAACATCAGTAGTACCATGCAGGCTGTAGGCCACCGTATCAGTACTACCGCTAGGTATGACTCCAACGGGCAAAACAGGATTAGGGAATCTGACGTCGGGATCGTTGGGGTCGATCTGCTGATCCTTGACCGCCCTCAGAATCAATCCGTTGAATACCTCGGCGAACGTGCCATCACCGCCGATGCACACTACTGCCTAAAATGGAAAAGTCGTAATTTGTGTGAGAATAGTTTGAATTAATTCCTTTCAACATAAAGATTTTGCAAGTGTTTATACAACACATAAATATGACTTTATATTTATTACATATAGTCGGAAAAATTGATAAATATGTAGATTTCTATTTTAAATACATGTATTATTGATCCAAAAATTTACATAAAATAGTTGTCAAAGATTTTCTAATTGTAGCAAATAAATACATTAAGAAAAATATCCGGTGAAAAGGTAACGAACGGATATTATACCGATCACTTTAATCGGAAAAAAAGAAACCGGTCAGATATCCAATCAGAAAATATCAATCGATCGGATATCTGACCAGAAAGTTCAAAATTCGGAACTTTCCGATCAGATATCCGATTAAAGTGATCGGTATAATATCCGTTCGTTACCTTTTTATCGGACATTTTTCTCAGTGTAATAAATAGTTACATAAATTTCTTATAATTATTGTAAATTTATGTATAAATTATATACACTGATTTTATGTAATATGTATAAATGTAACATGTATAAATTTATTTGCACTTTGATTTGTATATATGTAAATTCCGCGAACGGAATGTTGGCCTTACAAAAACTCACATGTAAATCACTCAAGTCGGCCGTCAGTAAAATGTCACGAATATGACCAGCCCGTTCGGTGACCATCATTTTTGTCTCAATGCCAGCAATAGTCATAAGTGGTTGCACATCCTTTTCCCAAATCCTGATACCTTTCTTTTTACCGCCTATGGGATTGATGAATAGCATCACCTTTCGCGGTCGATACGTAAGACCTGAAACAATCGGCTATAAATTAAATTCGATTTTTAATTCTTTGAATTCTAGTTTTCTTAAATTTGAATTGTATCAGAATTTAACATTGATCGATGCAATAAATCAAATTCGAATTTTAGAAAATTCTTTAAGTAAAATTGTGCATGTATGTATCTGTACATACGGACATAAAATTTCGAAATAAATATTAGAGACGATACTTGCAGAATCATCATATTTAATCGAAAAAAAAATTGTACGTTTCTCCTTCCTACACATATATACATACATACACACACACACATATATAAATATATGACTCTTATAATTAGACAAAAGAGAAGCAAACATGCTTTTAATTGATTTTATATTTTTTTATTATATTATATAATAAAAAAATATTATATTATATAATTGATTTTATTTTTGTAACAATGGAAATATAAGTCGAATAGACTCAAAGAACAAAATAGGCTTTTAATTATGCAAACTATGTCGATCGATCTTTCTTATATAGTGTAACGTCGATAATTGAATAGGTTTTTTTCATGAAAATGGCATTACACGCGAACATGGCAAATCCCCAGATCAATAGCACAACTGTTGGTTCATGACAAAGGTCGACAAGGATAATTTAGCACTTACTCATTCTGTTTTCTCGGTACTTATTAAAACATGCCCCTCTATCTCTCTTTCGAAGATTATCTTGCAATATCATTGCCTACTAAGCGAGACAGAGGATTGCTCTCGCTTGATTTATTTCACAATGATTTCAAATTACAACTCAATTTAGAAACTGTCAAATTTAATAACAAAATTAAAAAGCGGATCGAAATTGACAAGTGGTGAAATTAAATAATAAAGCAGCAACTTAATGTGAAAACTATTAAAATCTACGAATAGCGAAGTCAAGGAATATAATTTAACAATTTTATCCAAAAATTATCACAATTCGCAAATAAAAAAGATTGAAAAAAATGATTTATTTTAGAAACTATTTATATGAAATATCTTTAATGAAATCAAAGAATGATACAGCAATTTAATTCGAGAATTATTAAAATAAAAAGAAAATTAAACGATAAGTGCGCAAACCTCTAATGACTAATTTATAAGTCTATGCCAGCTACGCTAGTTTAAAAAGTTTCAGGATCACCGAGTATATTGTCATAATGCGCAAATCTGTTATCATGATTTACATCGAACTGATTAACCCGATTAAATTGACTAGCTAGATTATGCTTCTGATATTAAACGTAATTACGATGAAAAAAATCCATAAAAAACACATATCAAGCTTTTTCACATGAAAAAATGTTTCAATCCATAAATCCATATATTATATTCTATATCCATATATTATATTCTATATCCATATATTATATTATATTATTGAAAAAAGATTACCTCAAAGAAAAGATTATCTCAAATTTTGTTTTCCATAATTTTATGTGCTCAAAATGCTACATAATTTTTATTTAAAATAATGATGAATTTAAATTTGAAAATAATATTCAAGTCAAAGTAATATGCAAATTTTGTGTTTATTTTATTTTTGCATCAGTTTTAATTTTTATAAATCTCTAATCTCTTGCTACTGTATTTTTTAAGATTTATTTTTCCTATAATATTTTTTTAGCTCCAACTGCTTGCGTTAATCCTTTTATTTACGAACATCTGCATGACGTCGCAATGATATCAGCGACAAGAACCAACAAGTTTATATATTAATTTATGCGTCACGTTGATTTCTTAATTTCCGATTCGTTTCCTCATCTAATGCCTTTTTGCAGTTAGCAAATAAATCAATGGAAAATTCCAATTATATTTCTTATAATTGAGTCATAAACAAAGTTTTTTATTGTTCACCTAATAAAACCTTATTCATACGTGTCGAGACAATTTAGGATGTCGTAAGATAATAAGTTGCGGTCTTAGCATTTTTTTAGCCACGTATACGAAATGTTTTTAAACTGCATAACTTTTTACAACTAATGATAAAGTTGACTTTTCCTTTCTTTAAAATGTCAAAAATAATTAAGACAACGGGAATTTTCAAATGACTACCTATTAAATTATTTCAAGAATACAAATAAATGACAAAACTATTCTTGTCCCTTCGTCGTCACTTCGTTTCTCATATGTATATACGTATCTCATCATTTTAAAGTTAACGATGTTAGCTGACAGAAAGAAGTTTCTATAAAATATCAATAAACGTCACTAAATTCGAGGCGGCAATTGAGGGAATCATTGCAATTAGCTCACTTAGAAGATGATTCCGGATGGTTTTCACCCATGAGGCGATCTGTCTGGGATCCGTGTGGCTCATGGTCACGCTATGGTGTCGCCATTTGTTCTTGGAACCGCGAACTGCATAATGTAGAATGAAATTCGTCGGACAAACTGTTGGCGAGGTCGGTTGTTTCTCTTTAACGCTTAAACCCGGTATCCAATCATCGCCATAACGTACCGCCAGAACGTCCGTCAAAGGCAGCGTCCATCTGGCTGGGGAAAGAGAAAAAATCGATTATTATGAGTTTTTATAAACGAAAAAGAGAGCACGCGTTTCAAAACTCTATTTTATCTATTGTATCAGTTAGCATTTAATTGAAAATGTACTATGCTATTTTTCTTTAATCGTGATAAGTTAGATCAAAATTAAATAAATAATTTCTTATATAGAAAAAGAATGCAATTTTAATCGTATAATATCGTATAATATGAATAGATATTATTTAAAGCCCGTATCAAACGCGTCTTAGAAGTCCTAAAGATTAAAGAGTGAAATTTGATTCATAAAACAAGTTAAAATTTCCTTCGTCAAGTTTCAAACTTACTCTGCAATGTGTAAGTTGATACGATCTAAGCAAATATTATATGATTTAACACGTTGGTCAGAATTCAGATTCGATAACACAATTTGATAGCTTACTAAGGAAACATATCGTATTTGATAACGATTGTTTAATTTGTCATTTTATAATTTCTGCTTATTGTTGCTTATGATTCACACACACTTGATTATATTATTATTATTATTATTATTATTATTATTATTATTATTGCATCATAATTACATCACAATATTATTATTATTACATATTATTGTATTTAAAAAAAATTATATGTACAACATCATGTTATATTGTAAGACTAAGAAGCGCAATATGTTATGTTACTCGGTGAACATAAAATGGAGAAAACGGTACTCTCGATGTGTGCGTATATGTGTGATATGTTGCGGAATATATCCAGTTATGTACAATGTACAGAGTGCAGGTGCACATGCTTGCATCTTGCAGAATGCAAGAAAAAATTAAATTATATACTTTCCTGAAAGAAGAATCTTTCTCAAGTCAGCCTTTTCGTAAGAATTCGAGAAAATAAAGCATTGCAGATATTATAATTCGACATTGCTCATATAAAGCTTTCATTCCTTTACACTGTCTACAAAATTGTTATTTTTTTATATGCTATATCATATATATATTTTATACTTTATTTTTTATTATGTTAATCGACTTTTTTTGCGATGTTTTTTACTATGTGAAATCAATCGGAAGATATATTTCATACTCTTTGCCTTTTTTGTTGCCGATAAACGGCTCGACATTGGTAGAAATTAGCTTTTATCTTGCGCTTATCATTTGCCAAGGTAGTGTATACCTCGACGAATAAGTAAGCGATAACGTTGTTGCATGCAATGATTTATCAGTTAAATTTGAGAATAACTCGATGCAAGTAGAGAAATTGATTAATAGCTTTGCATTAACTGTGCATTATTGCAGCAACTTGGAATTATCAGAGGCTATTCTTTAAGAAACATGCGAATCGAAGAGATACGATGTACAAGTTATATTTATATTTTTCTGTTACATATTATTAAATTAATATATTAATAAAATAAATTAATAAAATAATAAATAATAAATAATGAAATAATAAATTAATAAAATATTTTAAAATATTAAATTGAAATACTATATATTAATAAAATATTTTTATATATATTTATATTTAATTAGATATATAAAAGATGTTAAATAATTTTGTTTATTTTATTATGTAATTAATTTAATTTTAAATAAATATATTTAAAAAAGAATTTTCCAAACTCTAAATAAATGATATATAAAGAGTAAAAGTTTTTATAAAATCGTACTTTTTCTTGAAACATTCGATTGATTTGTACGAATTATCGTATCAATAAGTGAAAATTTGGAGCGATGCACATGCAAAATACACGCATTATACGCGGTGCACGTGCAAAATATATTTTTAGCCAGTGATTTGATTTCTTGCCGTTTTCTTGCAGAATATTGCGATTCGTACGAGTCTTTTAAAATAACATCACACACGCGATTGCTATGTCTATCACATGCTTAACGAGCGGTTGTTATCGAGGATCGATTTGTTAGCGATGCATCGTATGTCGCGGTCGACCTTATACGAGATAGCATTTATTGTCTCGCAAATACTTCCTTATGCTAAGAATCAATGCCGGTCAACTCTCGATAAATATCGCTTACAATAATAATAAGCAGTTACCAGCTGTTTTAATGACTGGTAATGATATGTAATAGTTCACATTTTAATAATAATTAATCACTTAATAATAATTAACTGTAATAAACAATAATTAACTGTATAATCATTAGCGTTGGTATTTAAAAGATAAATACAAGATAGAAATAATCTAAACTAATTGATTGTCACGTTTTTGAAATCAGAAGCAAATTTGTTTCGTTAATATATAAACGATAAGGCAGATTCGGAGAAAACAAACGTGAAATCCAAGAATTCTCACGTCTCTTGTATAAAAAATATAAATAGTATATTGTATAACCGTGCATGAGTTTCATTTTGAATCAAATCTCATTCGCGTGTCCAATTATATGTTTACATTAATGTTTATAGCAATGTTAGGAGTTAGAATTTCACGTATCATGTAGATATACGAAGAAACACAAGCAATTCCTCAACAATAGCACAAGGATGACGTGAAAATAATATGCGACATATTTTGACAGGTACAAAGACAGGTAGTTACGAGACTGTCCAAGAAATTATTTTTGCATAATTAAAACAATCTATGATAAACATACTCTATTAGTGTACGTCTTTTGCAAGTTAAATATGAAAATGAGAACGCGTTAATGTTGTATATTTTTATTAAAAAAAATACATAATAAAAATATCACAAAATATAATAATAATTGTGATAATAGTAAACTGTAAAAATAATTTCCGCAGCAATTTATCAAAAATTAAATTAAAAATTAAAAAGAATAGTAACTGGAAAAATTAAGACTTTTGCGAAACAACACTCAAAGAAAATGAAATGTGTGTCATAGTTCTTAAGTGCTGATCTATCGCCACGCTTTCTCGTTCGCAGGCAGGTTTCTCTTAACCGGAATAATGTGGCTGCAAGAAACACCAACGATACGTCGAACGACGAAAAGTGAAAGACTGCAGTCTATGTCTATGCTGCAAGTACATAATAACACAGCTTGCGTTCCAAGATTGGCGTTATTCAAGTGTCACGTCACTAGTGATGCGAGATTAACGATACTATATTCATCGACAATTTGTCTTCCGCGAGTAGTTCCGGTTCTTATAATACGTAGGCGAGATTGTATTATAAAGCTTTATAATCAAAACAAAGACCGTTAGAAATTTTAATCAGTCTGCGATCAGCTTAGAGTAATAAGACACGAATGACATCATTTCGCGTGCGTGTGTTTCTTGCATTACACTTTATATGTAAAAAAAAAAATAATATTTATAGTTATTTATTTAATATTTTTAAAATAATTATAAGAAATATATATCATTAATTGCCGGATATTCATTTTTGGGAGAAGCTGCTTGTGTGGAACGTGAAACGTCTCTTAACGTCGTAGAATTATTGTATACAGTTGTTTTTTAACGTTATGCCAATGAGTCACAAGGCCTTTATTGTTTGACGGTTTGAGGCCACCGGAGGGAAGAGAGCTGAAAAACACAGTCGTAGAAATATCTTCGTGTAATATTATTCACTAGGGAAAGAGGGATTATCGTTATTTTATTTAATATTCATGGCGCGAACAAGCACGAGCACGCGCTCGCATAAGGAAATAGAACAACATGCAAATCGTATTCAAGGACGAGAATGAGTATCGACATGTGTTCCTGTCTACGTGAGTCGATCGCCGAAAACTGGTTAGTATTCCTCGCGTCATTCTTATCTGTGTCTCGAAGCTATGAATTATAAAGTGAATCTATAAGAGAGACATCACATATGCGTATAAGGACTTTGATACAAGGAAATATCATTTAATCATATACTTCGTGGTTTATATTTAAGAATTTTGCGTGCATCTATGCATTTGGAAAAGAATTTTTTTCTAATGTTCAACATTCTTTTAGTCTTTTTTTAAAGAATTTTTTCCATATATTTGATCCTTTTTCAACCGTTTTTAATATTTAAATAGATGAATTTTCAATTTATAAATAAAAGATATGTATTTTATCTTTATTTTATATTAAAAATATTTTTTTAAAAAGGAAAAAATAATTTTTATAAAAAAATCAAGTTATATTTTATTTTAAATTATATTCACATTTTTTATTTAAATAATTTTAAATTAAATATTAAATTACATATTTTTTTAAATTTATTTCTAATATGTGAAATCGACATTCTGATTATATTTAATTCGGCTGTTATATATCGGAGAATTAAGTCTTGTTAGAATCGCATTATGAATTAATTTATTAAAGTGTCTGGTAAAGATTCAATTCTGCCTTCTGCTACGCAACTGTTGAACTACATATTAAAAAGCAATTCTGATCGATTTCTCTTTTTTCTTTAATCGTTTCTGTGTATATGAATAATTACAAGGAAAAAAATAATGACATACTGTTGGTGCAATAAGTAACATTATAGAAGATGCTGTACCAATGGCAGGTCAAGGCCAATCGACACACAATCGACCACAATCGACACACAGTTCTTATCGTACATTACACTGGTCCACCTTACGAGATTGAATTGCTCGAATTATATTACTAAGCACTCATTAGTCTTAAGGAAAATTGACCGTAATAGAGAAAGAGAGAAATATATACGCGTGCACAAAAAATTCATATTTTTTTTCTTTTCAAATAATAAATATAACTTCGCGAGTTTGAAAAAGTTATATTATTTTTATATTATTTGCGTGTTCACAAAACATACAAATGATAATGATGAAAAAATATTTCATGTAACATTTTTTATTTACTAGCTGCAATATACACGCATTTATCAATTTATAGATTATTAAATTATTTGTTTCATATAAAATGTTAAATTTAAATTAAAAATATATTTTTTTCTCTACAATTTGTTATAATAATTTTTGACAACTCCCCTTGAGATTAGCTGAGCGCAAAACAAATAAAGAGCGAAAAATACGATTGTTTCTCCTCTTTCTCTATTAAAATTAAATTATTTTCATATTAAGAAAAAACAGATGAGAAATAAATTGCAAAATAATAAATCAAAGTGCAAAAGATGAAATAAGATAAAACAAGGTAAAATCATAAAGAAAAATCATAACATAAAAGATGACAATCATGGAAAACATGGAAACGACAAGACGAGCAATCGCGTGTGCTACTATTGACTCGAATTATTATTAATCTGTGTGTTTTTATGTTAGTTGTTTAATAAATTCTGTTTATCTGATTAATAAAATGCATGAGATCTTATAATTTCAAATTTTGCCACCAAAAAGAATTTAAAAAATACCTGTCCACAAATTTTTGTTACCAATTTTAGACATTAATATCTATCACAAATATATGTATATATATACGTGTATATATATAATTTCTATCAAATTATGTCAAATTGTGTGAGCTTGCATTAAATTTACTATGACTAAAAAAAATTAATTGAAATGTTCTGGAATTAAATACTTGATTTTCTTTTTGCAGCCAGGAAGAAATGCATTGTGTCAATGAAATAATTATCCGATCAAGTGCTCGTTTATCTTTAAAAAATAAGACTTTAAGAAGAGTTTATTTATCAAGGCAAGAAGGAGAGCGTCCAACTGCTGACTCGAAAAAATTATTGATCTATCTATCTATCTTTATTTCTTTCTCTCTTCTTGTTTTGTCATTTTTTATCTATCTACATTTAATGTAAACACGTATTACGTCATATATTTATTTCATTATAATTCCGATCCTATAGCAAACTAGCTCTGAATTAAATATTCAATATTTTTTTTTCTTACGAAAGAATATTGTGTACATTGTCTCGATAGAGCAATATATTCTTATAAAGCATTTTAATGTAAGTTTCAACTTTAATAATAAGTTAATTAATTCTAAAATTAAATATTCAATGTCAAATAATCAAAATTTCTAATATATAAAAAAGAAACATGAACTTTTTTAATTAATGGAATATTAAGTTTACTAATGCGACATTTATCTCCTTAAAGAAAATTTATTTTTAATAACTTGATTTTAATAACTTGAATTTAATGACTTTTTCGTCATAGAAGAATTAAAACCAATCTTATGTTAGTCAAAATATGACCTTCACATATACAGGCGCACGTTTAAATATCCAATATTTATTCAACATTATAGCAAAGGAAAGTATACGCCCCTCGCAACAATTTAATCTACTCCATTTATCATTCGAGAAGGTTTCGCTGCAAACAAAATTTCGAAAAAAACAGGATCGATTTAATTAAAATACAACCTTGATCCAGTTCTTTTCGCGCCGATTACCTTCGCAAAATACCTCGACTCGAAAGGCGATCGTCGCGAGTCTACGCAATTTCTCGACGAAATTTTTCGTCGGAAGAATTTTCCTGCGCGTCAAGGACGGCAAATTGCTCGCTTACTGTAAGGCGGTCGCTCGGTCTCCCAGATGAGCGTACCGCGGTGCAGGTAGACGCGACATCGCTTCTTCTTGACAACGAAGGTGTTGAGCAGGACCGACTTGGAGGCACGGTCGTCGGCGGACGCGCCGGGAGTATTCTGCATCATGTCGAGGCCGCTTCATCGACGGGGAAGGGGATGACGACGACGACGACGGCGATGATAACGATGAACGTTTCAGCGAGAATGATGACGCCAGCGCGACGACCGCGTCATCACGACGATGATTGATTCGCGATGACGTGCCGGCGAGTATCGGAGCAAAATGCGGATTCTCCGCGGCCAGTCTCGCGCCGATCGATCACGCGCGATCACCAGGAGTCACGAGCCCCATCCGTCCCGATCGGACACGCGAGCGAGACTGACCGACTACCGTCGTCCCGCGCGTCGCGGACGACGAGGACGAGGACGAGGACGGGACAAGAGGAGGCGAGACGAGGCGGGGGCGCGGCGCTCGTCATCAGTACGCGTGCACTCATTATTTCGTACTACGTATCGCGTGCAAGTATAAATTTCTTCAATAGATTTTTCGCTTTATCCTTTAATCCCCTCGATCTGCTCTTTTCTCGATATATCGTATGGAATTTTTGAAGCGAACCATTATTTTTTTCTCGCAATACGCGAAGAGATAAATTAATACCCTTTAATAGTTTAAAGCGATAAAATTCTCCGAGAATTTTTCTCTCGATCCGTGAATTGATAAATAATAAAATATCCAAATATCTCTGCAAAGTCCATTTTTTATTAAAAAATACTGGACCTACCGCGCGAATTTATTTGACAGTTGTAAAAATTTATTCATTTATTTAGCTATTTATTCCAGCCAGTCGTTAATAATTCCTAGTCGCAGTCAATCGTCGTTAATAATATCTTGTTGACGAATAATTTCTAATCATTATTTCGTCATTAAAAGTTTACGAAAATTTATATAATTGTTTTAAAGATAGCAAACACGTGCGCGCGCTAATATTTGTCTGTCAAACCACCATTTTATAATGTTACCGATGGTGAAAAATCTAGCTATCTACTATATTTACAGTAGGTATAGCAGTGAATATTTTTACCGAGTGACTCCTGACGCTTATATGTATGTATGGTAATCAATTGACGCATAAATTATTTATGGTAATCAATATATATCAATGATAAACATTTTTTCTTTATTATTCTTTCAGATAATAACGAATTTACGAATTTGATCTACGATTAAAAATCTCGTAAAAATTCGTTCATGTTTAAAAATTCCCGATATAACAGAGTTTGACGTTTCTGACGACGATATTTGAACACAATGCAAATATTTGTATCGCAAACATAATGTACTGACGATACATATACTCCGTTTAACAACGTTACCGCCAATGTAAGTCATTCATAATTAATTAAGTAAATTCAAACAGAATTATTCCCATCATTGTTCCACATCTGAATATAATAGTCATCGATATATACTTTTTCCAACAACTTTGATTTAGTTATACTTACATTCACTCGTCGATTTTCGGTAACTTCAATTCTCGAAGCTTTATTAATTGGATCGCGTCGAGTAGATTATTCGATGAAACGTATCTTTTTCCACAAGATTTAATTTTCCATGTCTGAAAAAAGATATCAAATATGTAAGTTTTTAAATATTGAAAAAGATGATCCTTTATACAGAATTTACCGAAAGAATAATTGGATCCTTCACGAATATTATTTCACGCAAAAATATCGAAATGCAATCGCGTAGGAACTTGTAAGGAGCGGACCGTTTCTGCGATTTGCGCGGGAAACGTCGTGAACGGGAGACAAGATCCAGAGATCAGTCGGGCTGCATTCCAGGACGATCGTCCGGTCGCATTTCGCGCGGCCCTGGTAACTCTGTAAATATATGGCAAATATTGACAATCCAAATATACGTATCAAATTTGTTTACGTATTTGGAAATTAATTAAAATTTTTCGAGATTTAATCCTACGTGTGTATGTGTGCAATTATTATGTATTTAATATAATAAATGTACAATTATATCGCGTCACAAATAGAATATAAATAGAATATAAAAATCTAAAGGCAATTTTCCTTTTCTCGAACCTCTTTTCATTCTCTTGAGAGGAGACTGCGGGGTACTTTGATTTTATTTGTCACGGCGTATAAGTAAATATAGACCTTCGAATGGAGGAAATACATCAGCATTTGAAAACCACTGGCGATATGTCGGCGCGATAACGCGATGCGCCCGAGTCAAATGACGAAACAAACATGAGCGAGCCAATGAGCGGATGAAAAACTTTGACGCATCTCGATCAGCATCGTGGCATTTCTCGCGTATACATCAGCATGTACATTTATTATTCATACGCGCTATCGCGCGCCAATCGCATACATTAATCATCCCGTTATGCGAAATGAAAGCGATTCACGTGAGTCGGGATCGATGCCGATTAAATATGAATATCCTCGCGTATTCGCGAATCGTCATCTGCGATAGGTAAATCTCTAAAATTAATGTATCCGTTTCAATCTCCGATTAAATCAATGAAAGGACTAGAAATATTCATTTAAAAAATGGGATAATACAATTAGAATTACCTCGTTTTTAGTGTTGCAGCTAATGACATTTGGATTCGTCGTGAAAAGGAAAAAAAAATGCTCAAGTCGTGGACGCCATGCAAAAAGTCTAGATGACCGCTGAGGACAGATGAAGAGATGGCGAACCGACAGCCAGGGCCCGGCGCGCGACGCGCTACGGTCCTACGCGACGAGAGCGAGCGCGCATGCGCGCGTTCGAAACTGGCCAATCGGAGCGCGCGACCGGCACCGTGGCGGTGGCATCATGGGGCCTCGCTCGGCTCGCTCGCGCCCTCGCTGTCGCGTCGCATCGCGTCCATTTTGTCGACGCTCACGGTCCCGGTTAGTCGACGCCGGTGCGGATCAGTATAATTCCCATTTGCTGCGAGTTCGCGCGCGGGAGATCCCAGTGGCTGTCCCTCCCAGTGGCGGCCTCGCGTTATAATCAGATAAATTGCGGATCCACGTTCCCGGACGAGCGTGAGAACACTCGGGACGATAAGGAACGTCGCGCGAGAAGGCAACGTCGTCCCCTCGTTTGGGATTATTGTCCGATATTGTCGGGCACCGGGCGTCAGGAAAGCTCGTTGCGACCGGTGGAGCCGACAAAGGCGTAAAAACGCCCCGATTCTCTTCTGGCTGATATACGTGCCGTAGCCGCGGTGAATCGCTTAGGCAAGATGGCGGAACTGCAGGGCACTCCGGGGGCACAGGACGCCCTGGCTGTGGCGCAGCTCGAGCTCGAGGGGAATCCAAATGCCTTGGCGCTGCGAAGGCCATTCGATCCGGTGGCGCATGATCTCGATGCATCCTTCCGCCTGACGCGTTTCGCCGATCTAAAAGGATGAGGGTGTAAAGTCCCTCAGGAGATTCTCGGGAAACTCCTTGAGGGACTGCAGGCTGATGACGCGTCCGCACAGGATCACGAGCATGCCCACTTTATGCACATGGCGATTCCGCGAATCGGTGAGTGAGCCCCCTGTTGCGGCGCGCTTGCGAGCCGGAATTTTTCACCACCGTGTATACTTTTTTCCTCCCTCCCTCTCTTTCTCCCTTAATTCGTCATTTTTTGCCTTGCGAACAATTATTTGCAAGTCGATAGGATCGCGTTTTGAAATTTTGAATTGTCGAAAGAGCGATAATTTAATTTTTTATGCTTTCGTTATTTTTTTCTTTTATATCAAAAATAATTGAGATGTGTAGAATTTTCTCTTCCTTTCTTTCTTTTCTTTTTGTTTAATTTATGCGGAACCCAAGAACGCCTCAAGATGCAGTCCTGTTGTAAGATGGCGGCCGTGTCCTCCCGCCTAATTTTTTTTTGCGTGGCACCGGAAATGCGAATGTTTTTGATAAACTTATAATTGTGCTTTTGTAAAGTTGGAATGATGCATATTTTCTTAAAGATAATGATAACAACGTATAAGAATTTTATTTATTCTTCGAATGTAAAATTTTTATAAATAGTTTTTACAATCATTTTTCTTTGAAACATTTTATTTAATTTGTTAAACACTTCCTTTTTTCAAATATAAACATATATTGCTTTTCTTATTTTAATCTTTGTTTTATTACACGTATAAAAATACTTATATATTGATAAACACTTATATATTAATTATTTTAAATTTACTATAAATGTATGATATTATACAGAATGAAAAATATGTTACATGATAATAATTAATTATAATTGTTAAAATTTGTAAGACAAAAGTATAATTTTTCACCTAAAAATATCTAAATTAATTTTTTGATAGTTTTCGTGTAAAATAATAATTTAACAAAAGCTTATAATATTTTTTCAGGCATTGGCATGGATTCCTCTGTTACGCCGGTAAGACACGGCGGGCTGAGTTTGGTGCAGACCACAGATTTTTTTTATCCACTAGTTGACGATCCTTATATGATGGGTAAGAAAGAAGACAACGAATTAAAGAGAGCGTATAAAGTATCATTAAACCAAACAAATTTTAGTATATTGAGTAGGCTATTTTTTCTTCATCGCCATGAGATACTTTCCAGGTAAAATCGCGTGCGCGAATGTCCTCAGCGATTTATATGCAATGGGTGTCACGGACTGTGACAATATGCTGATGCTGTTGGGAGTTAGCACAAAAATGACAGAGAAGGAGCGTGATGTCGTCGTGCCCCTGATTATGAGAGGATTCAAGGATTCTGCTCTAGAAGCAGGTACTACAGTGACTGGTGGTCAAACGGTTGTGAATCCTTGGTGCACTATAGGTGGTGTTGCTACTACTGTTTGCCAGCCAAACGAGTACATTGTGTACGTAATTAATTAATTATGATTGTCGTTATTCAGCATTACTAGATTCGATTCTAAGTCTCTTTACATTTATTCCTTTATTTAGGCCAGATAACGCTGTTGTGGGAGATGTTCTGGTCCTAACAAAGCCTCTCGGTACGCAAGTCGCCGTTAATGCGCATCAATGGCTTGATCAGCCTGACCGTTGGAACAGAATCAAACTTGTAGTTAGTGAGGAAGATGTGAGAAAAGGTTATCAACGTGCAATGGATAGTATGGCCAGATTGAATAGGACAGGTATATATATTATATAATATATATTAATATAAAATATATAATCTATATATGGTATATCCCTCAAACTCTTAATTTTTTAATAATAAATTTTTTAACTTAGAATCAGTCTTGCCTTCAAAGATATTGAGGTGAATTCGCGTTTATTGCTATTTTATAATTTTATTTTATAATTTTTAACATGTAAGTTTGAATTAAAACTTTATTCAAATTTCTTCATATACGAAATTAATTGAATATATTTATTTATTTAATCGTTTGTGAAATTTAATGTGTAAAAAATGCTTTTTCTCCTAATTTAAAGGAAATTCAATTTTCATTCATTTTGCATCAGAGATTTGCTTCTCCTATTACTTCTTTCTCATAAGTCTATAAATTATAGATTATCTTTCCTGCTTTGATACAGTAGAGTATCTTGTATTCATGAGATATTCTAAAGAACGGCAGGTAAAGAAACAGAGGTTTGATAACTATTTATCGTTAATTGATATTTAGTTTATACATTCCTCTTACAATTATATATGATTATATTGATTGTGTTTCATTAACTGAATTACGTAAAATATCTTTTTTGCAAAAGAATTCTTCAATAAAATTAATCACTCAAATCTTTTGAATATTAATTGAAATTAATTATCAATATTTTATCAATTTTTTTAGCTGCAAGATTAATGCACAAATATAATGCACATGGAGCCACAGATGTTACTGGTTTTGGCCTTTTAGGTCATGCTCAGAATTTAGCCAAGCATCAGAAAAATGAAGTATCCTTTGTTATCCATAATCTGCCTGTTATCTCCAAAATGGCAGCAGTGGCGAAAGCATGTGGCAACATGTTTCAGCTATTGCAGGGTCATTCGGCTGAGACGAGTGGCGGTTTGCTTATTTGCCTTCCCCGAGAGCAGGTTAGCAAAGTATTTGCATAGATTTCAAGTGATTTAGTAAGATGTAGAATTCTAGCTTAGTAAGATAATAAGAGCATATTTACATATACATTTAGTTTCTTTTACTTTTATAGCTATAAATTATATACTAGCTTCTCCGTTGATACAGTAAATTAACTTATCCATAAGATAATCTCTACAAATAGTAGTTAAAGAAACTGTAACTGTTCCATGATTATTACCAACTAATGTAAAAAATTCTCTCCTAAGTGTACTTATATTTTATATTAATTTAGATGTATTCAATTTTAGTAAAATTTATCTACAAATCTAATTATTAAACAATAGATAGGTTTGAGATACATTACGTAATTTTACAGGCTGCAGCATATTGTAAAGACATCGAGAAGCAGGAGGGATATCAAGCGTGGATTATTGGCATCGTAGAAAAAGGACTTCGCACGGCTAGAATAATTGATAAGCCGCGAGTGATCGAAGTTCCTGCTAAGGAGAAAGATGGCGAGCTTTGGTAAAACTAATAATAATAATAATAATGAGATACTAATAGTAAAAAGAAAGGCCCAGAAAGACATTGCGCATATGCCTCCTCGATTACACATACATTTATATATTTGGAAAATAGCACGCACTCGATGAGCGCTTTTACAGATGTACATGTCTAAAAATAATTATTTTCATATCTACATTTCGCGTATTTTCTTCACTGATTAAAAAGACCATAATTAACTAGTATTAACATTTCGATTATTAAGTCATGAAAAAGTTATTCCATTATATTGCTTAACGATTCATTTTTATTATATGATTTATATGAAATAATTATGATTTAATAATCGATTTGTTAATAATGATGTTAAAACTGCATTAATATTTTTTCCTCAAAGTATTCTTATTCATGCTACTATGTAGAAAGATATGCTATTTTCTTTCTCTTTATTATTTTCTTTCCATTTGTTAACTCTGTATTTAAAGTAATTGCAAGTTTAAAGATGTTTTGTTTAAAAAAATGCAACTGAAGATATGTTTAATCTGTAAGACTAAATTAAAAGGTAGCACGTTAAATTATTAGACTAAGAAGCTTCAAAAACTGCACCTGAATAAATATTAACACGAGAATGAATATTGAAGTTCGGCGCGCGGTGTTATCATTATCACATTAAGAAAGATATCGAGACGATCGCTGATGATTACAAAGATGAAATTTATATTTTACAAGTTGCAAAATCTGACAAAACTTACAAAATCGATTAGTATACATAAATTTATGTAATCAATTATGAACAATTGTAAATCAGTAACAAACATGGTGATTATGTAAAAGAAATAAGTATTAAATAAGTAGTGTACACACAGTGACAGATTTAAAATGTCCAACCTTTGGTGATTCAATCTAAGTAGAATATCAATACAAACGTGGAGTCCAAAAAATGAAAAAGAAAGGCCTTCTAATTGTCTCATATGCATACGCTTTGAATGATTCTCAAAAGAAAAATGTTAAGCACAGGTCCTAATGTTGTATTACTTTTTCATATAAATAAAGTACTACTTTGTCAATAAAATTAACCCAATAATCTCGCTGTATCCTATGAAAAGAAAAAAATTTTTAACTTTTAACAAATTATCATTTGAAAAATTTCAAATAAAGACTTGTACAATATTATTATATACTATGTTAATTTAAAGTGTTATATATATATATATATATATATATATATATATATATATATATATATATTTATATATTCTGACAATAATATATTTTGAAAACATCTAGAATTTATAGAGATGGCAATCGTATATTCTTTTTACTCTTGTGGTGTATTCGATACAGAGGGAGGGAGGGGAAAGAGATATCAAATTTATTTTTTCTGTCGAGAATGAGTGAAAGATATTAACCTTGTAAAGGTTCAATCATTGGACGCTTCCTAGAGTAACTAGCAACGATTGACCAATCAGAAAGCAGAATTTATAAAGAACAAATCGAACGTGACTATGTAGATATGAACGAAAGAGAGAGAGAGACACATTATATTTATATAAATTCCATATAGTATGTATATATGTATATACATTCATTATAGTTTTGATTCATACACACACAACGCAGGCTACAAGCGAGGAGACGCTAGAAAGGCGGAAAGCGTATGATTAACCAATCAGAATGAAGAAAGTAAGGAGCTCTCTTTGAGCTATTGTATACAGGACCATAACCTATCCTATCAGTGTATCAGTGCAATAACAACGACATGTTAACGTTACTTAACTTATCGTTATCTTGTGAAATAAGAGCTTATCAAAGTTATCTTCGCCGCTTGTTCGGCACGGTGACTAATCGATCAATCTTGTACGATACAATATATATAATATACTACTGTGTTTCTCATTGTTTTCCCATAAGGCTCATTGTAATTCCACGAGCTACGTAATTATATAATTATTTATAAAAGAATTTTCACATTTTTTATGTAAATTTGTAGTAAATCGAGGAATATCTAATAATCATGCTATACTTAAATGAAAAATTGAATATAAGACTGCGACGAAAGCATATAGTGCAGCTTTATCATTGAAATGTTGTAAAGACTTTAGGAGCAACCACAATTGATATTTAATCTTAGGTAAATAGCCATGCTAATTATTTATCATTCAATTTTTAATTTTTTTCTTTCTCTTATTAGGAATAAATTTTTCCAATATATTTCTTAATTTTATATTATATATATTAAAAATATATATTTTATATACATAACAATTCTGTTGAATATAATGATATCATTTAATTAATATAAAACATTAAATAATAAAAATAACCTTTTTTTTATTATGATTGCATCAATCTTCTCTTTCATTAACTATATTCTTTTTTTACAGAAAGAACTCCGATTATAGGATATTTGTATGTGTTGTCGGAATTGAAAAATGAAACAGATTTGTTAATTTAAAAAAAAAAAATGGCACAAGAGTCAACTACACTTTGCCATAGAAAATCGACAAGTTACATGAAGGTCCCATTAAAGTCCACCGAACAGATATATCTAGTATTTCTCATACCAACATTAATCAATTGTTTTATATACATAATTAATATTTCTGCTGACTTGGTGGTAGCTATTCAACACTTTAGAGAAGAAAATCCATTATGGGGAACTTGCACTATTGCAATTATGTATGCTCCAGCACTTACATACTTTGTATTGACAGTTTCTAGACCAGATTGGTGGATGACAGATGATGATAAAGCATTGAGAGGTGTTTTCAGATGGTTTGTCCTCCAATTGTTTCAGTGCATCGGATTTGTATTTTTTGTATTATACAGGTAATATTTGATTTTAACAAAAGTAAATTTTAATTAATTTAATTAATAAGTTAAATAATTTATGTTGTATATTTAATCAATTTAATTAGCTTTATAGGCTGTAATCAATGATTATGTAAAGAATGTAGTTTATTTTTACAGATATGCAGGATTACTTGTGTTCTCCGTGGATGCCATAAATTTATCCGGAGATGCAAGAATCAAAACATTAAATATAGCTGCAGCACCTGCAGCTATTGAGTTGTACTTCTTCCTACAAGCATGGTTCCAAGCTGCTCCACAAGCCATTTTTCAAATGCATTTACTCTTCAGAGAGAGATCTGCTTCTTCGGATTATCGATCTGGTATAGTAATTAGTAATTTTTTCTTTTTTTATATAAATATTTTTTATAATATATATTACATTTTTATAGCTTGTCAAGTTACACAGGGTAATTTGCTTTTGAAAAATCTATTGTACAATAATAATATATATAACTTACTCATTTGCAGTGGCTGTACAAGTGCTCTGCATCATTATGTCAGTTGTAATACTCGCCATTGAAACAGCCTCTTTTCAAAGATTCGAGAGTCAACGCGTAAATGGTAGAAAACTTCCTTGGGCAATGTGGTTGAAAAAGTACTGCATTGAGGTATACACAATTCAGCCCATTATAATAAAATATTCCAACAGTTTTAAAATTCAAAATCATTCGTTCATATAACTTAACAATCTTATTAGACTTACTCTTAATTTTTTATCCTTGCAATCATTATTTTGTAAATATTATTTGCATTATTATATATCTCATTATGTATTTTATATATTTAGTTATGCCATTTGATTGTTCAAAGGATAACTTTATATTCTACAGCATAATAAACTTATTTCTCTGAATATTATTTAATAATGCTATGTTAATTCTATTTTCTTATTAATTAATACTATAAATTTATACTATAAATTAATACTATAAATTAATTCTATTTAACTAGGAATTGAACAATCTCGAAGAAAAGGCACCGTTGCAAGCATCGTTACCCTTATCTGAAAAAAAGGAACAAGACAACGCCACGCCGCACGAATCAACGACATCGGAAAAAACGCCGAAAGAAAATCCAGTTGTTACTGAAAACGAAGAACAGCATCAAAATCAATCTCATGAAGCTTCTTTATATCGTCAGATTTCCATAACTCCACCGTTACCACCGAAAAATGCGCGCGTGACTCCGCCGCCGACGCCGCTTCGCGGCATTACAACGGTCACACCACTTCCGGTGCCGGATGCTCCGGCACCACCTCGTCCAGATTCCGTTTACCGAGAGGAAGAAGCAGCGAAGGCAGCATCGACCCTCGAGTCAAATCAAAGACTGATAAACAGCAGCGAACAGAGTCTAAAAGTTCCTAAACGCAAGTATTCCGAGAAAGGCCTCGAGGAAGATGATCCGATTGGAAAATTTCTATCCTTCCTCTGGTGGTTTCTCTTCATCTTGGCACGTGTGTTCGCCATTGCTGTAGCTTATGAATTCTATCCAGCAATCTTACTGGCTGTGCTGGGTGTACATTACGCCATCATGTTGATCTATCTTTTTTATTATTCCAAGTATTATGACGCGATCACGTTTATTGTCAATTTATGGCTCGGCCTGGTCTACATATTTAGTCTGATCGAATACCGGATCAAATTCAAGTACGCTGATTGGTGGACATGGCCGTACTATGTATTCGTGATCGCGCAGAATTCGACATTAACGCTGATGTGGTACTTGAACGCTGATTGGGATGGTTTCTGGTACATCTACATATTCTATGCAATTTTCATCAGCATGGCACTCTGCGTTCTCTCGTCTATGGTGTATCACGCGATGTTTAAGCCAAAGAAATGCAGAGTGTACAGCAGCTGACAACCACTAAAGGAGGCTATGTTCTTTGGATAAGTTTTCTAAAAAACGTACTTCCGTTCTTTTGCTTCCATGCAAAGTATAAATAAATTATAAGTTAATAATAAATTACAAATTTTCTTCCAAATATTGATAGATCTCATCGGAAAAAATTAAATGTTAATAAGCATATAATAAGATTTTCTATAATTTATTTATACCCTAGTAGATGTGTTATCTTTTGAATTTTAATAAAGATTTAAGTTTTTTATGTTTAAACGTTAAAGATAATATTTCATGCAAAAAAATATTTATAAAATGTATATTTATAAATAATTGCTAAATATTATAATTGTGACTGTTGTAATACATTATTCGTAGAACAATAATCAGTATAGACTTTTAGATATAATCAAATTATAGATTGGTGCAAAAGAGATTAGCATAAACTTGTCAAAATAAAGATAAAAACAAAATTACACAATATAAATTAATTAACTTAATGAATTATTAAACATATTTGTCGAAAAAAATATTCAATTTTTTTCTAGACTCTTGATCTTGCTTGATATTAACAGTCAAAGCAAGTCTTAATCAAAAATGATTCGTGAAATCTTTTGCATCATTCTAATACTTCAGGCAGCACACATTTTTACTTTTTAACAATGTATTTTAAATATATTATGTAAAAATATTTACAATATTATATACATTTTTATATATAAAAAAAGTGACCCTCTATAATATGTTTTTATCTATACATATATATATATATACATATATATATATATATATATATATATATATATATATATATATATAACACACAGAATGTTTCGAAATTTATGATTAAAAGTATTATTATATAGGAAAAGTCTCGAAAAATTAATAAAAGTTTTTGGAATATAATTTAAAGCTACTTAATCACAAGATATCTTTATCTAAACACCCTGTAATTAGTAGCTTTAAATCTGTTTATTTCTGACTATTATTTGGGATAAAAATTTGGAATATTGTGCCTGTATAAAAATATGCAAAACTATTTACTTAATTTTTTTAAGAATTCAGAATATATCTTTTTTATCTAAAAATTCAAAAAATCTGTTAATTAAAACTGATCCTCTCTAGTTGATCACAGAAGACTATAAGATATAAGATATCATAATCCTCTATGATATATGTAGAAAGAGGAATTATAAGATACATTTGTCTTTCAATAAAATTAAAACACAGTCTATAGTATTATTCAAGAAAGTTGTCATCCATATCACATGAGCAAATTTGTGTGCATGCATACATATCTTTCTTCTTCACACATGAATACTCGAATCTCTGCGAAGATTACCAAGTTGAGCCTCGAATAAAATATCATTTAATAATTTCTCGGCTATTATTCTTTGGTCCAATCTCATATTTCTAAGTTTGGCGGCGACGTTACGACCGACTGCGTCGTATTCGTCCTCTATTACGAATGAATTGTTATGCGGTATCCTTACAGATAGATCTGTGGATTCTGCTTCTTCAGATCGTCGTCGTACTAACGGTGCGTCATTCCAATCCGCGGGTTGATGCTCATAAGATTCTTCGTTTTCGGCTGCGCATTCCTCCTGTGCATATATATGTTAATTTAATTACAAATTACGTAAATAGAAAAAAACAGTCTTGTGCATATAGCAACACATTCTTTTAAAAAATTGGTAAACGAAAACTTAAACATAAGTAATTTAAGTAATAATAAATATTAATTATTTACTTTAATGCTTCTATGTTTAAAATCAATTTTAAATATAGTTTTAATTATCTTAATTTAAAAAATTCCAGTTAATTTGATTACATAAATTATATATAATCCCTCTCTTTTAATAGATTTTATATTTTAGTTCTTGCTCTCACACAAATAGAACAGCAAGGAGTCGGTTTGTCTTACAAACAGCAAAAATTAGAAAGAAAGTATGCTTACTGTTTTGCAGCGCTTTTTATTTTGAATCACCACACGCTTTGTTCGTATTTCGGAGCATTTATCAGATGACATTGAATCAATGTACACCATTGCCGGCTTTCTTTGATTGGATTTGCATCTTATTTTCTCGATCAAGGTCGGATGCAATCGCTGCAAGAATAATAATTGGCAAATAACAATAAAACTTTCATTATGCAAGTTTTTCAACATGATAAAAAAACCCAAATCTTTAAGCACATTGATTAATAATTAATACTTTACTATTGTTACAATATAGAAAAATATTCAATGTGATTAAAAAAAAACCAAGAAAATTTAGTACAAAAATACAGAGTATCAGTAATTGTTCTCAGCCTCTTAGTAATTCTTTTCTTATTATTGTGATTTTATGAATCTCTTCTCTCTTCCTCTAAATCAATTTATATATTAATTTACCTTTATATGACTTAGAAAATTGCCAGTAGACTTCAGATTACCATTCAATAATTTCTGACATTGCTGACAACGCACTGTGACATTGGTATCCTCTACTCTGGTCACTGTAAAATATTCTCCATCTAATATAGCAGGTAATCTGACTGGAGTTAGAGTTGTACTCTGTTCAGTGTTTGACTGAATCTGTGTCATTTGATGCGTCTGATGCTGCTGCTGTTGCTGCAGTGCCAACGTATCACGATTCTCTTGACTCTGCACTTGTATCTGCTGGGCAGATGTTTGACTATTCACCGGCTGAGTTTGAACAATGTCACGTTGACGATTTGCAGCGGTAGCTACAGATTCATTGTATGTTTCAAATGTTTCCATCTTATTCTCATAGTTTTGAATGGGAAAACTGTCCATAGCGATAAAATGCATGTAAGCCTCAGTCCAGTAAGTAGACGGAGCAGACAAGGAACAGTTCCTCTCGTGTTCTCTCTCTCTTCCTTGAATTAATTTTACAAGCTTGAGTATTTGGAGTAGCTGGAAAAGAATAAAAACTTGTTATAGAATTTTCACAGCAATTAAACATAGCAATGTTATTTAACTAGGACGCTTATTGAATTTCACATGAGCTGACAAATAGCGTCGTATGATGAATCTAGATAAGATAATAGATGAGAACGTACATATGTTTATGTAAAAGATTAAGAATCGCTTACCAACTTTGTTGATTAAAGTCGTACTCCTACTGGTAATAACACTGACAATAAGTTGTAAGCACCATTGAGTTCTATGATCCGTATTCATAATCCTTTTTTCCGGAATTCGATTCTTTAAGAAATGTTTATCTATCTGAAATATCCGCACATATACACGTCATATATAATTAATTATATATAATTAATTCATGCCAACCAACACCAAGTGTACGCGATATTTCTTAACAAAATAAGTTGAAAAGTTCTCAACTACTTTTGTTCTACGAAAGAGGATTTATTAAATGTTTTTCATCCAATCAGTGCCGTTTTTAGACAGACTTGTGAATTGACTTTTGAGGTTCTCTGTGTGTTATTCGCAGACAAGCAACTGCTAAACATGGTCTGTAATTGGTCAACACTTTAAATTCTGATATCTTAAAAAAAAAAATACTGTGGAAATAAAAAATCGCGAATATTTTATGATTTAATTTATCGAAAAATTGTTTGCTATAATATTTAGATTTTCGAACTTTAGAATCCTTTATAAATTTCCCATGCATAGATGCTTTTTATTTACGAGTTCATGAAAACTAGGTTTGTTTTTTTAGCTGAACTTTTTGCATTTTTTATTTTTTTTCTTTCTCTTGAACTTCTTAATTCCTATTTATTAAAGTCATATTTGCAATTCTCGTAGCATTATTCCATTCTTGTCGTTTATTGAAAAGTTAAACAAAAATAATGCAGAAAACAAGTGGAATTAAGGCTGCGCTCGGGAAGAGGTACTGAGGGTACTTTGAAGCCTTTGATTGACCAATCAAGTTAAAGAAATTTTTATTCCTTTTGTCCTGATTGGTCAATCATGCTTCGAAGCACCCTTAAGCCGTAATCACACTATGGGTTGCAGATTTGCCTGCGGTTGGAATTGACCAATCAGAGTAGTAGCCGATCGATAAATTACTTTATTCTGATTGGTCAATTTCAACCGCAACCGAGCCCGCAAACCGTGGTGTGATTATGGCTTAGCGTCTCCTTGACCATAGCCTAAGAATGATAAACAGTATTATATTTAAACAATTTTATGTATATAAATAAAAAATAACTCTAATTATTTATAAGAGAATAATTAGAAAGATTTTCGCATAAATGGGCGACTCTCTGCGACGAGAGGTAATTATGATAAAGGGTTATATCGCTAGTTTCAGATAGAGAATTCGCTGATATATTCCTTTTTAATATTATTATTATTTATATTCAAATGCAATAATATAATATCACATCATTTTCTATTTAAAAATTTAATGATAATTATATGACTAATAGGTAAATATAAATTAGACATTGTTTTAGGTTCTACGAGTATTTAAAAAACTTCACAGAACAAGATTGAAAACATTTGAAGGTGATGAGCATGCATTGCAAGGTAAATTTGTATTTTATTATTATATAATAAATGCATTTTTATATAAATAATATCTTACTGTTTTGTTTTTTAGTCGTAAGAAAAAAGATAAATGATGAATACAGAAAATATAAAAATGTTACAAACCAGGCGGCAATTGAAGAGGTACAAATTTAATTTTAATAATTAAAATAATACACAATTATTAGTGTAAAATATTGTATTGTGATTTAGTGTATTATATATACGCAGTTATACATATTTGTACATATATTAAGGATTTTATATTGAATATACTTACTTAACTTAAAAAAATTAATGTAAAAATTTTGTATCATTGTTTCAGTTGAATAAGTTTGCGCAGGAAGTTGAACATGAGGTACGAACAACTGTTATTCAAGTAGTCGAAACAGCACCTGGAAGAGTAGGTAAGTTGTAATTGATATTAGATATAATAAAAATATATATTATAATTGCATTATGAATTTAATAAGTGATATTAAAATATATTTCAGCACCACGGCTCACTCCAGATGTCTTAGTAGATAATGTACCGTACAAAGAGCAAAAAGGTAATGCAAATAAAGAAAACAAAACTCAAACTTGCAATAAGTACACATCATAGAATACAAAACAATGATTTGAGGTAATGAAAAATATTTAAGTTTATTAAAAATAGCTTGCAGTTACATGTAGATTGTAAATTTATTTAAAATTATTGTAATATTTGTAAATATTGTATCTTGTACATTGTATCTTGTTCATGAATATAAATGGAAGACATTATAAATTTACAGGGTTTAATTAAAAGATGAAAATTTACTTTATATAATTAAAGTTGATCTTTATTTACAGCAATACAATTATATTAAGTGCTCAGAATATGTACAAGTCTTTGCTTAAATCATTTGTCTTCTGATGTCTCAGGCTGTTCCTACAAGAGTTTGTATATACTGAATCGAGTATATACAAACTATATACTTCCCTCTTCTAATCTCATCCTGTAACACATGAAAATTTCTTTACATATTTTTTTCTATAATTGTAATACTGATTATGTGTACACTTTATCTTTTACAGATTTTATATAATTATTTATGTGTACAAGGAATGAGAATTGTACAAGGAATGTGAAATAGTACTTATTGCAATTTCTATTTAATCTAGTTAATTTTTACTTGAAAATATAGTTTGAAGATCACAGGAGTTGACAAACTTCTAGGAAAGGACTCAGTACATGAAAAGGGTCTTTGGAGCAAATCTAAAGAAATAGAGTCAATAAAAATAGCATTCTTTTGTTAATTGGGTACAGAATGTTAAGTAATATAAAATTTAATGCCATTTTTTTTAGGATTTCCGATTTAATCAAAATGAAAAAATAATACATATTCTAAAAAGTTATTTTTAAGGTAGATCAATAATAATAAAAAATTCATTTTAAGTGCAAGAAATGTTAATTGAATAGCGAATTTAATATAGAAATCTTACACATGCTCAGGATGACTACGAATCTGATCAATGAGATCCGCCGGTCGCAATTGATCGGTGCAAATACGATGCACTGCTGTGAACAGTGGAAACTTGTCCACTAGGCTACGCGCCTTCAGCATATCGTGAACTTCGTCTGCCGTTGCTGGTCCCTGCAGCTTTTGCCCGGACAATAATTCGTCTTCCAATGCCTTGATCGTCTGTCATCATTATCAAGATTATATATCAAGATTAGACTGATGCAATAATGTCAGAAGCATCGATAGCGATCGAAGCTGAAGCGTATCATTTTGCAGATTCTTGAATCTTCGAGAATTTATTGAGATATACTTACCTTGCCAGTTTTAACGAATTGTTCACAGACTCTGCGATTCCTTCCTCCGTAACACGTTGTAATCAGATCTGCTACACCGCAACTTTCGAAGAATGTGGAAAGTTTAGAACCGCTGTAGAAGGTATCGACAAATTTGACCATCTCCATCAATCCTAATCGGATCACCGCGGCTTTTGTGTTGTCCCCCAATCCGAGACCATCCACGAAACCGGCAGCGCATGCCACTATGTTCTTTGAACAAAATAAATAAATTTATAAAATGATGAACAAAGGTAATATATATGTAGAAATTTCTTCAAGATTATCTGCTTACTTTCAGGGCTCCACAAACTTCCACAGTTTCACAGTCTTCTACAACAACCACTCGGAAGTTTGGAGTTTGAATGAGGTCTCTTAATACCGGTGCTAATCGTTTATCTTTACATCCTGTAATTTTTTACAATTTTTAGATCATTTTCGTAATATTTGGATGGATATTTTATTAGAATAAAATTAGAACAGAATATCTAAAAGATCTATATATTCTATATATTCAGATATATTTAAAAAACACAGAATTATAGAAAATATTTACCAATTGTAGTTTCGCAGAACTTTTCCTCGGCGACTTCATTGGCAAGATTGGCACCCATTAAGACATTACACTGTATTCTTAGGTTCTTCTCAATGATCTTAGAAATCAACTCAATACTGTTTCCTTCGCCTCGTCCAAAACCCTTTCATTCAAATTAATTTATAGTCTAATATATTTATTGAAGAAAAAGAGAGTTATGTTTGAAATATACCTTAACGAGAGAAAGACCGACCGCGGTTGGTTTTATGTTATCCAGCAGCGTCGAGCATAAGGTGCGAATAAATTGATGCGGCAAGACAAAAATGAGGATATCGGCATCTTTTGCGGCCTCCACAACATCGGGTATAGCAACCTGGAAGAATATTTATCCAGTGTATTAGTTATATTCCAAACGTTAAATTTTACGGTATAAAATATTATAGAAATATGTAAAAATTGCGAAAATTCCTTACAGAAAGATAGGAACTTTAACTTTCTTTTCGGTAGTTTGATTATTATCTGATTAAAGACAAAAATCAAAGAAACTAATTTTTTATATTTTTCCGAAATATTTATAATTTATAATTAATTTGTATTTTTAAGTTATAGAGAAAGAGAGAAACTGCTTGCCATACATTAAACTTTTTGTTTTTATGGAAACAAGAATTTATTGATGTCAAATAATCATTATTTGATTATCCATACATCAATATTAGTAAGGCCAGATATGGAGATATCAATGTTTGTAACATAAGAAGCGATCTGAGCATCGTATATAAAGCGCACAGGTCGCCGTTAAATCGTCCCAGAGTCATCAGTACCACACGAGCATCTCGAGATACACGATCGTGCAATTTCTTCATTGAATACCCAGTCAAGGGCAACGCAATAATGAGGCTTAACAGTATCATACCGAACTTTAAGGCCGATACCACGCAAGGTCCCATTGATTTTTATGAATGGCAGGGCAACTCGTAAGTCACATACTTATAAAATAATATTTTTTTACACATATATAAATACATATACAAACGCATATAAAATAGTTTTTTTAATATTTTTAATATTTATTATAATATTGTTATAATTTGTTATTATATATTCAAAATGATTTATATAATAATTGCATTCATTGACAAAGAAGAATAAGAGTTATTTTATATTCCATGCATTTATTTTAATTATCTTATATATTCTTATATACGAGATAATTAAAATAAATGCATGGATAAAAATATATAAGATAATTTTTTTAAAATAAATACATGAATTATATATTTACTTCAATTATCTTATACATTTTTCTCTAAATATTTTTTAATTTTCAAATTCTTGAAGACTTATTTAAAAATATGCCAGAAAATATGAAATTCTTTTGTAAAATTGCGTCATTATTATATATTTGAATCACATTTTGACAAGATAAAAATCGATATTGCTAGATATAATATGAGAGAGATAAAGAGGATATTATCTGTTACAAAATTAATTGCATATGTTGCAACATTTTGTTCGATTGTAATAATTTTCTATCAATAAACACGTTCAGCAATTATAAAATCTATCATGTAGGATTTATTGCGCATCGTAACTTAATTTGCATTTGCCTGATTTGACGCGCATGATTTGCAGCGAAGTATTATTCAAGACTAGATCCTCTCTACCATAATTCATTATTGACAGGATGTTATAAATAACAAGCTATTAGAATCGGATTTTACACAATGATGAAGCTTCTTTCATCATTACATTTCACATGCATACAAGATTATTAATCTTTATGTATAATTCTATATATACATAATAATTATATGTAACTAAATGTATAAAATTTATTATTTTTTAATCTCACTTAATTGTGCGTGTGTGTGTATATATAAAATAATTATATTTTTGAAATATAACATATAATTATATTTTGCAGCAATCATTATAATTAATATAAAATAAATATTTAATATATATCATATATAATAAAATTATTATGATATAGATTATTTAACTTTTATAAAATGTATTACTTTGTGTGAACAAATATAATTATTTAATTATTATTAATCATATTATTATTAATTAATTTTATTAAGTATTAATTTTACATATCTTTGTATCAATACAGACATTAGATTAATTTATTAATCACTCAGATTCATTTTATGATTTTATTCTTGTAATTACATAATAAAAAATGCTTTAAATATAATTATAATCAGTATAAGAAAGTGCGATATATTTGAATTACAAATGCGATTTAAAAATGAATTGATCGGTAATTTTCATTAAAGAACTGAAGGGCGACCATGAGCTGAAATAAATGGATTGCAACAACGGAGCGTTATCCTTGGCACAAGACCAAGGCAAATATTCAACATAAGAAATATGAGAAATATTTGAAAGTATCACACTTGACTCGTGTAATCGCGACTAATTACATAATTCTGATAAGATGCCGTAAACATGTGATTCTTGTTAATAGAAATGATATTACAAAGATTTGATTGCTATTCTCGGTTATCTTCAGTAGAGATATATTTGTATAGTTTGAAATACATAGTTATTTTATTTAATTATATATACATATCTTTTTATTACGCGTGTAACTATCGCAAGATATTTTAACAAAAATTTAATAACTTTAATCTTAATACTTTTATGTGTAGAATGATAAGCTGTAACTTCATTGAAAACATGTTTTCATGAACTGAACATATAATAGAGATAATTTAAATCATAAAATAAATGTTTCATCTTGTATAATTAGTTTGATTCACACACACATACACACATGAAATATATACATATAAAATTATAAAAAATTATATACTTTTAAATTTGTAATATATAATTTTAAATTTTATGTATATATATATATATATATATATATTATTTATAATTATATAAATTGTATATATTGAATTAATTATATTAGTAGCATAATTATTTAGTATTTAATAATTTTTCTATTTTTTACATATAATTGAATCTGATTTTTCCCTCGTTTTATCTCTTTCTCTTAGAACATCAACACAATTTTAATCTTTATTTAATTGTTAATGTTTATTTTTTTGCACACACAGATGGGTAGTTATCTTCTCCCATCCTGCAGATTTCACTCCTGTGTGCACTACTGAATTGGGTCGTATTGCCGTACATCAGCCATTCTTTGAGAAACGCAATACCAAGCTGCTTGCTCATTCAGTTGACAAGCTCAAGGACCACGTGGACTGGGTCAATGTGAGTTTATTAAATCCTACATAAGGAAATGCAATTCCTGATACATTTATATTATTATACACATTTATGAGCTATATTCATTCGTTAATTTTCCGAACTTTCTTCATTTTCCTCTTTTGTTATTACTTTCAATTTTCAAATTGGTTTTATATTATTAATCAATTTTCTTTGTTTTTCATCTCGTTTATGATTATTTCTATCATCATAATTTTTAATTAATTTTCTTTATAGGATATTAAGTCATACTGCAAAGACATTCCCGGCGCTTTCCCATATCCCATCATCGCCGATCATAATCGTAAGCTTGCCGTGCAACTGGATATGATCGATGAGCAGAGCAAAGATGATCCGCAAACCGCTGAGACTGTTCGCGCTCTGTACATTGTTAGTCCAGATCATCGTCTGCGACTCTCCATGCAATATCCGACCTCCACTGGACGCAACGTCGAGTAAGTTGACGAAATACTATATATATATTGTTTACATTCTGATGCATTGAATACATCCATAGAAAGAAAAGAAGAGTTTTGTATATACAAATCTATCTATCTTATTTATTTATACTAATATTGATACGATTTTCTCATTTCAGCGAGATATTGCGTGTGATTGATTCGTTGCAGCTCGTTGATAGACGACCAGAAGTAGCAACTCCCGCCAACTGGGTGGTGAGTCTTCTTTTATCTTTTTAATTCTTCTTCTTATCTCTTTCATTATTATTCTTATCTCTTTCATTATTATTCTTATCTCTTCATAATTTCTTGCGATAATATTTATCTGATTATGACGATAAATAGCTTCGATTTAATATAACTGCGATGACAATAATTTAATACAACTGATATAACCGATGATTCTAATCTGATGTTTCTAATTTGATTTAATTATAGCCTGGTGAGAAGGTAATGATTCTGCCGTCGGTGAAGGAAGAGGATCTTCCAAATCTCTTCCCAGGAGGTGTCGATCGTGTGTCTATGCCGTCTGGAAAAGTCTACGTCCGCACTACCACTGATTATTAATCGAGAATGAGGTTTTTTTATACATATAAATATTTCTCATTTGCTTCTGATTTTTTTACCTAAATAGTAGTTGATTTAATCGCCTTAAAGCGAATTTATAGATTTGAAGCAGATTATATTTTTCTAATGAAGATTACATTCTACTTTAATCTAACTTTTTTTTAAAAATATATCTTAAAAAGTTCTATTCTCAAATTTTCATTTTTTAAGATCGTTGATTTAGAGTACTCGGCTACCTCTTGAATTTCTCAGATATCTTATTTTAAATTTTGTTATCTATTCATTTGTTATTTATATATGTGTAAAAGTATTACAAATTGCTGTTAAAATTTATTAATTATTTTTTCTAACATCACTGATCTTATAATTAATATCAAATTATTTAAGTTGTTGAAATAAATAGATATTAATATATTTGAGATACTTACCACATTTTCTGGAAGTTTGTGCCCAGGCAAATATTTAACGTTTTCGTGAAGAGTATTGATTATGTCTGTCAGTTTCTCATTATTAATAATTTCCTCATACACATACATCGTCACTCGTGTCTCAAATATATTATTGTATTTCGTGACATTCGCCCCAACGATTTTCGCGATTGCCGAGCCCCTGGAACGATTCATCGTATATATAACAAGATTCTTCGAATAAATGATATGCTGTCATCTCTATTATATATATATATATATATATATATATATATATATATATATATAAAACTCTTGGTTATTAAGATTATTAAGATTCATATAATAACACACAAATATGATGATTATGAATAAATATACATTCAATCAGAGTGAGCTTTGAGTTATTAATTATGATGAAAAAAAGTACAATTGTAATATTAAATCTTTTATTTATTATATTTGTGCAGTTGCGTGTTGTGCACGTCCTCGAAATTGCAATGAGTTAATTTTGGAACAATAGATAGAGGCAGAATTGCATCGGTATGTCTGTCATCACGCAAACTAGATCAAATAAAATCTGGGTTATTATTGACACACACATTCAAGAGATGAAATACAAATATTTTTTAATATACAAATATTACATATTTAAAAATATGATATATGTGTACACATACGCACGCGCACACACACACACACACACACACACACACACACACACACACACACACACACACACACACACACACACACACACACACACACACATATATATATGTTAAATAATTACTGAACAGAAAATAAACTGAAAATCATACAAGATTGACAAGATTTTATATAATGTTCAAAAAGTATGTTTTCGTTATTTCTTTTTTTAATTAATATTTAATAACATACTACAAAATATTACACACACACACACACACACACATATGTGTGTGTTATTTTGTAGTATGTTTTAATTTATTTACACATAACTTTCAATACATATAAACCATCAATTAATAATGCAATTTTGAATATTAAATATTAATTTAAAAAAAAATAAAGAAAACATGTTTTTTGAACATTATATAAAATGTCAATTTTGTGTGATTTCCAGTTTATTTTCTGTTCAGTAATTATTTAACATGTTACAATTCATGATTATATAAACTTACCTGAAGAAGAAGTATATAGCTTTCATTCTCAGATAAAGCTTTATATTTTATCATGCATATGCCAATAAATAAATTAGTACAAAGTAATAAAAAGGGAAAAAATTAGCGAGCAAAAATGATAGAATTACTACAAATTAATTCGTAATTAATTATTCTCAGCATGAAGAAAATTACCAATTGCCGCTGCCGACGATGCATACTTTTTTCTTCGCGTCCGGCATCTCTTTTTTCCCTCTTTTAGAGAATGTCGTTCCAAATAATATTCCTGATCGATGATCGATCAACCGCGAGGCCCGACTGACCGATTGACTTAGAAGCCCGCTGACCTTAGCAGCGATCGTGAATTATTTTCTAGCGTTTGCGCGCGCAAGCTCTGGATTAAAGCCAACTGAGCAGACGCTTCAACGACGAACAAAGCATCGTGAACAAAATTAGCAATGCATCGATAATAATGATAACGAGTTAAGGTCACGAATTCGAACTTGACCCTATGATATGTCCTTCATTCAATTTTATGCTGAATTTATAGATTTAATGAAGGATAACAGAAGAGATAAGGCCACATACATTCTTTAATCTATATAAATATTAATCGAATAATTAATTATTTAAAGTTAAATATTAAAATATATTATAATTATATATTATAAATATATTATAATTATAATAATATAATTATAATAAATATATTATAATTATAATATAAATATCTAAAGTTAAATATGTTTAAAATATGTTTAACAAGTGTTAAGTTAATTATATTTTATTCTATAAAAATCTATATATATATATATATATATATATATATATATATATATAAATCATAGAACTCATAAATCAAAGAATTTGAGGATTAGGAACCATAAATTGTCGTTTAAAACGAAAATTTTAAAGGCTTACAAATTGCTTAATTTCCTGTTAAAATAATTTTCAATTACATATCTAATGATGATTAATTAAAACATTATATTGTACTTTTGTTTAAAACACATTATATAGAAATGATTCTTCATAAAGAAATATCTAGATATCTCGTTAGTATTTGTTACAATCATTACAAAAAATTCCTTTAGAAAATCTAAAAACTTATTTTTATAAAATACAAAACCTGAACAAAAACTGAAAAAAATGCTTTAAAAGAATTGATAATATTAAATAACAAGAAATATCATTTAATAATTTATAAATTATTATAGTTTACAGAATCACAAGTCTATAAACTATCACAGTTGCATCGAACATCATTTGAGAGTACATTGCAAAATTTTCTCCAATTTGCTCATTTCATTCATTCATTGCTTGATTCAACTATTTTTCAAGTTCTTCAACGAAAGAATTAAAAAGCCTTTTATCCAATTCAATAACGTATTTTTCTATAAGTAATAATAAAAAAAATACAAAAAATATACATAATGAATAGAATTGCTGTGTCAATGTTATGATCAAACTATCACTATTGCAACAAAAAAGGAACTTATTTCGATTGTATTCTAGCTTGATAATTAATGTTTTACTGCGGTTTAATAACTGATAATCGAATTCAATAAATCACTTAACTAGCATCACGCTTTCGAGTATGATGTTGATTGAATGATGTGACGAGTCTTCTCTCGAGAATCGACATTGGGAGAATCTTCAAAGGTGGCACTTGGGCTTAGACTTGAACGTCATCGAGGCGTCTTCATTCCTAAATATGGAGCGAATGCGAATTAACTCCTTTAGACCGACACAATTTCTACGTTATTTATCGTCAGTCCGGATGAAATATCTTTCGCATCAGCTAATCAAGAAATGAGAATTACAGAGCATTACTAAAGTACAAATGGACAAGTTTGAAAAATGAGTTCATGTCTCACATATACATTTCATTTCGACATAAAGAATGTATTCCTAAAACTTATCCAAGTGTTTTCGTAATGCCTTGTATGTAATTGGTTAGTAGAGAATATTAAGAAGAGTCTTAAGTTTATGTGATTAATAGAAAAGAAAATATTATCTTTAAGGAAAGAGGGACAGAAGAGAACTGAGTTTTATTTTTCCGTCAACAAATAATTAATTATATTTGTCTTTTCTCTTAGTTTACATAATGATTAATTAGTCGACAACGCATGTAACAATCAACGATCAAAAATTTATAGATCTTTTAGCTCGTCCATAAAACATTGAATAAAATTTCTGTTGATAAAATATATATATTATATGCAAACATTCTCATTGTAAAGTATAACAATTTGTTCATCGCGCTCAACGCGATGTGGAATTTTATTAACTAAATTGTTCAACTTTTTCAAATATATTTATAGAATCTTTGAATCTATAAGAAATATTATATTATGAAAACAAAATTGTAAACATTTAAAGCACTTTACATTAAAATGTTTTGAAAATTAGATCTTTAAACCCATAGAAAATAATTCATTAATTATAAGATTTGAAGTTTTTGATAAGATTCTGATTTCATGCAATTTTAAAGTCCTTTAAATGTAGAATTTTCAAAATTATATAGATCCGTAAAATCTTGAAATCATGAAAATTTTAGGCAAAAAAATTTGTAAGATTTTAATTAGAATATAATCCAAACCAATCGAGAGAATTATAATGGATTTTCCATGAAATCCTTTTTAATTATTTTATATAGATTACTATTATTTTATTATATAAATTACTATTATTTTAAATAATTTTATGAACAAATGGAATTCTAATTTATAGAGCTATTGTCCAAAATCGTAAATTCGATTTAAAATTCTAAACAGTACTTGAAAAAGTTTCGATCGACGAAATTTTGAGTTTTCTAAAAGCTAGATTATTCTCGGTGAAAGTTGAGGTATCTATAACTTTGTGTACGAACTAATTATGTGTTTAAATTAGTCTTACGTTTAAATCAATAAACACATTTTAATGCTAGCTAATGGTAACAATTGTAAGCTTACATGTGTTCCGGATGGTTACGTATGCAGTCGATTAAATCCGTTGGTTTTAGTTCACCGATGCAAATACGATGAATTGCCGTGAACAACGGAAACCCACCTTCCATATTCTTCGATTTCAGCATGTAGTTGACCTCTTCGGCGGTGAACGGTCCCTGTAGTTTTTGTCCTTTTAACATCTCTTTCTCCAGCGTCTCAATAGACTGCAAATGCATGATTAATTATTATTTAACAATTTATAAGATTGTTCAAATTCTGATATGTATGTATGAATATATTATAATATGTTAAATTGAAACATTGTACTCTTAAAAAGTTTCTCTAATGGATATTATCAAACTTTTACTAGATTAATCGATTAAAGAGAATTTTGTTAAAATTAAAAATAAAAAATTAATCAAAACAAAGCATGCTTGAAATATCTTGTGTTGCTGACCTTGCCGGTTTTGACAAAGGCCTCTGAAACCTTTCTATTGCGTCCGCCGTAGCATGTCGTGATTAGATCGGCAACTCCACAACTTTCGAAGAAAGTCGCCAATTTTCCGCCCGGATAGAACACACCGACGAATTTGATGATTTCCATGAGACCTAGTCTGATTACTGCAGCCTTTGTGTTGTCACCTAAACCAAGCCCGTCGACAAAACCAGCGCCACAGGCAACTATATTCTATAAGCCATTAATATATACAGTTAAGATTTAAGTCTGATTAATTTAAAAAGTCCTCTTAGAATAAAAATTAAATCAATAGAAATTGAAAACAATCGATTTCACCTTTAGTGCGCCACAACATTCCACAGAATCTACGTCCTCGACAACCACTACTCTAAAGTATGATGTCTGAATTAAATCGCGAAGTAGTGGCGCTATCGTCTTGTCCTTGCAGCCTGCGAATTACGATTCAGATTGAAAAGCTTATTTCCAAACTGTTAAATCTATATTCTTAAAAAATGTAAATTACTATTATGATTTATAAAGTCTTCCGTAATTTGATAACATTTAATTTTCAATTTTTTTTATTTGAAAGCTGCATTAATCTCTACATTGCGTGCTATGAATGAATCGATAATGTTAATAAACATTTTATGTAAAAATATAATCGATTTAGATTAGGAAATATCTTTTGCAATTATGTATTTTTCATTACATGATATTTGCCAGAAATTGTACGTTTTTTTTCTCTATCGTTGCGAAAATTATCTAAGGAAATATCTTTTAATTTATTGGCAGCCGTTTAAACTATGCGATTAAATTGATATATCTTGAATCGTTATTTAGATTTTAATCTCTTACCAATAGTAGTTTCGCAAAACATTTCGTCGGCTACTTCAGAAGCCAAATTGGCGCCCATCAGGACTGAGACTGGAATTTGCAGCTGTCTTGAAATTATATGAGAAATAAGTTCAATACCACCACCCTCTTTCTTGTCAAAACCCTGCCAACAAAATTCCAGAATATATCTATATATAGTTAGATTAATATGAATATACAAATTGCATATTTTTTAAATGTTTTTAAAAAAACACATTTATATATTTTATTTATAAATATTATTTACAAAAATATAAAAAAATGCATTATAGAATATGATTTAATTTAATATTGAGAAGATATTCTAACTAAACCTTGAATAATGTAAGCTTAGAAAAAAGATTAAAATGTACCTTAATCAAAGACAGGCCGACAGTGGTAGATTTGATTTTTCCTTGAAGCGTATTGCATATCCTTTGAATAAACTGATGCGGAACTACAAATATAAGTATATCTGCATCTTTTGCAGCTTCAACCACATCAGGAATTGCAATCTGGAATAATATATAGTCTATATATTGTATACTATATAAACGTCATATATTGCATACTATATAAAATGCTCCAAAATTCAAAATCCTATTAATAGTAAATTCTGTAGCCAATTTAAAAAATCAATTTTTCCTCAATAAAAAAATTAGAAAAGATTTTTTATTAAGTTTCTATTTTTTTCCATTATATGTTTTTTGTAACTAAGCACCAAATTAAAATTCTATTAAAATTAACTATCTACAATAACCGAAGAATATAATTTTAATAACGTTATGATTTTACAAGATTTAATTTATGAAAAGTTTTTCTTTTTCAATTGCTTTCAAAAATTCAAAAATTATTAATGTCTCGATATTTTCACTAAAAAGAAAAATCTCTAAAATGGTTAAAGTATCTATGATTAAAAAACATTTGGTGTGATTTTAAAATATTTTAAATACTGTAAATTATATTAGAAAGAATCATAATCAACGAGGTATTTTCAATATTATCAACTCATGACAACAAAAACAATTACATCGTCACGAGTATGAAAAATAATATGACCTTGAACGCTGCTTTATCATTGAATCACTTGAAATGTTGGAAAATATGAGCAATGTGCATTTAATATGGTTTTATTTTCCTTACATTTTACGCATTTAAAAATAAATTTATTACATTTTTATATACTTATACATATATACATATATATGTATATGTATGAATAAGTAATTAGTTTATTTTTAAATGTGTAAAATGCAAGAAAAATAATATATTAGTACACATGTACGTAAAATATTTCAAAACCATGAACTGTTTTCATCATATTTTTTAAATTTAAAATATGTCCGAGAAGAACACTATTGATAGTTTTCAAATAAGCGATAAAAGATAGAGGATTCCTATCAGGAGAGAAAACAGATGAAATCATATCTCTCGAATATTATTACATATACAAATCAATGAAATTTTAATTAGAAACTTAATTAAAAAGATTGTAATGTAAAATTAAAAATTAAATCAAATATATATATGTATATTATTATTTTTCACAAAAGTAAAAATGATTGAATTATAGATAAAAACGGGATTTTTATTAATTTTGGAATAAAATAGCTCTTTTCAATTTCATTGGTTTGATTATTCTTAGAAATTCTATGAAAAATCCTTGAATATAAACTCAAGTCCTTAAACCTTGGACTTCTCAATCATCGATGTCGTAAAAATGTAAATGTCCAGAGTTTCATATTTTTATAAGAATAGATCTTGTTAGATATTATTTTTTCATTATCCCTTGCTATATCTTTATGAAGTTTCGACTTATAAATATCGGATTTCCCAGAAGTTATACAGAAGGACGTGAAAGTGTACATAGTTAATAATAAACCGGTTTGAACTACTATATATACTACTGTATGCGATTTCAATCTGACTAAATAAAATCATTAATTTCGTTCATCTATTCTTATACCATTATCGCTTTTTTCTATCATATATCTTCTTATCATGTTTTTTAAATATATTTCTTTAAGATTTTATTTGATCGCATTAATTAATCAAATTTTCCGATCATTTAAAATTCACATATACATATTTCCAGATTTACAATTTTAATTTTCTCCCAAATATTAATTTTATCTTAATCAAACGTGAAAGAATAGAAAAATTTTGCGTTAAATAAGAAAAACTTTATTGAAAAATAGTAATGCGTGAAACATATTGTACATTTTTTAAAAAAGTAAAAAAAATAAGAACATACGTTATATTGTTGGTTTCTTTTAATGTCTTTTTGCTTAACCGAATGAATCTATAATATTTCAGAAGATAAATATTTATAAGACATGTTATTCTTAGCTAGCTTTGCGCATACATGTGTAGCGATTTTTATCAAGGAGGGACATCTTTCTTAAGAAGATATATATATATATATATATATATATATATATATATATATATATAAGGTTTCAGTATTAAAATTCCATAGTAAATTATATTATATGATCATGCTAATTATTTCTATTAAAATTAATAAAGGTAAAAGAATAGGGGTATGTATATAAAATTTATATACAACAATCATTTGTATGTATGATTTATATAATATATAATTAAAAATTTAAATAATTCCTACGATTAGTTTTTGAAAAATTAGTAATAATTATGTATTTTTCTTAGTCTATTCAATGCTTGAGACAAGCACATTTTGTCCATATCATCTATCTTTAACACAGGAACTACCGCTGATGACTTTGCATAGCCTTTTGTCAGACGACTGAATGTGTTAATAACCTTGAATGACTTAGAGTCATAAGTTGTTAAATTTGTCGCATTTAAACATAGATGTTCACGAAACATTTGATTTTATTTAAAAAAGGGAGTCTTTTCGCTTAGGAACAATTTTTTTTTAAATAAAAATATATCCTTTGCAGAACATGTGATGCTGCAAAAATCGCATTTTCATATCTCATTTAGTTTCAGAGAAATGTATTGATTAAAATGACATACTTTGTGTATATGTATGACACGAGCACTCTTTATTCAGCTTTTCTATAAAAAACTTTTTTATTAAAAACTATTTTTTTTAAAAACCAATCTACAAAAATTTGGCACTTTATAAAAAAGCTGATTTGAAAAATACATCAATGTATAAATTAATTCTAAATAAAAGAAACTTTGACATATCTTATCAAGATTCAGTAGTAATTTTCAAGAAGTTTTAACTATCGTTCCTTCGAAAATAATAAACAAGCAAAATAAATAAAAAATATTTTTTCTGTGTGTAAAATAAGTAATTACTTCCACGTGCTAATAAGTAGTTAAAGATAAGAAATGAATATGTGGGTGAATATGTGAGAAGAACTCGCCTTTAAAATGATCAAGTATATGATAAAAATATTATAAAAAATAGTGGAAATAATCAGTGTGATATCAAATTATACTATTTGGCCTTGTATATGTGAAATTTCTATAACATACAATATTTGACACTTTAAGTCTCTGAAGCTAGGAATGCTGGGCATTGATTGGCATATCATGATTGATAAACTTTTCAACAGAGGAGTGCAAAAGAGATTTGATAACGAGAGCGATATCGGAACGCATACAGTAAATTATCTTGATCGCGATCAGAGTTTGAAATTCTAAAGTTCGCTAATTCATATCACTAACTGAAACTATTGATTATTGGAATCAAACATATTTCTTCAATTTTTTGTTTGAGAAATGTCAGAAATTAAAAACACGAAAGAGATTCTTAGCGCAATTTTGTACTTGGAACTTCTATATAGTAAAAATATTCAGTATGCAAAATATCTAAACATTTCGAGAATCTGAAGGTCAATAAACAATTCACTTCACAGATATATAAATATTTAAAGAAAAAATATAAAATAAATCTTTAAGAAATAAAAATAGTAATTAATAAAAATATAAAAATATTATGAAAAATAAATATACAATAAAAATAAACATTCAAAATTAAACATTTAGAATCATCTTACAAGTTAGATCAATTAGTATATATTCGAGAAATATAATCTTACCACATTTGCAGGAATTTTATGTCCCGGAAGATATTTAACATTCTCATGTGTTTCGTTGATGATTTCTGTTAACTTCCTTCCATCGATAATTTCCTCGTAAACATACATGGTGACGCGATCGGCAAAGCTGCTTTGTTTTTTCGCATTTGCGCCGACTATCTTCGCGATAGCCGAGCCCCTATGAATACATGCAATGTGATTAGTATTTTAATCATTTTTCAAGAGAAAATTAATTGAAAACATTATATGTATCAGTGAAAATAAAGTGATGCTAGTATGAGTGATGCAATTATAAGTGATATCGGCAATTATAAAAAATTAACGTTATTATATTATGTATAAAAATCCTCAATATATTTAATACACATTACTGTAAGAAATAAGTATCTAAATATTCTATTAAAGTATCAATATTCCATATAATAATAAAATTATTATCACTGTAAATACAACTGAGAAAAAAATATTGTTTTCAATTTCGTTTTATCTTAAAAATTTAATTTCTGTATTTTTTCTCTCAATTCTTGATTGAATTAAAATTCCCATCATACATCCTCTTTATAAATTAATAATTTATGAATTTTCTCATGATGTATAATCTTACACTGATGTCTAATCTTTACAATTGTGTATTATGCAATTACAATCTACATCGCAATAATACTTGAGACGACTCTTCAAACGTTTAATCGATTATCAATATTCATCTTACTTAACATCGAGTAATTAAATATAAATTAATTACTTAATAAATAACATAATTATAAAATATTAATCTGTAAATCTAGAATATCAAGCAACCGTAATAATAATAATAGTAATCATAATCTTTGAATATGCGTCAATTATTCATTGCATAACGCAACTTTTGTTCTATGCTTCATGTGGAATAAAACACTTTGTCATCAGCTTGAATACGATGAATCGGAGCACGCGCATAGTAAACAAATGTGCGCCGATGTCCGCATGTGCGTGGGGCACGTGCGAATCGATTGCCATCCATCGCGCGCGTCGACACTCTCTCTCTCGTGATTTATTCTCACGCTCCTTCAAATTCACTCTCCTTTTTTTTGAAGACTCACCAGTTACCAGAACCGATGATGCACACAGATGCCATAGCGCGCTCAAGGACACCGTTTGACGCAGACAAGAAGAGGAGGAGACCGAGCGAGGCAACGACGTTAGAACCACTTCGCCTGGACGCCAACGAGTGACTGCCGAGGAACCAGAAACGGCGAGGGACAAGCCGAGCGATGCGCACGCCAATCGCAGACTGGCCTGATAAGAATGTGATGGGCCGGGTGGGAGGATCGCAAGGAGAGTCCAAGCTGGAAAAAGCAACTGAATATATCAAGCACTTCATGAATAATTCAAATCGTTTTGAATGACAAAAGATTTTAAAATTATTACAATTATTATTATTATTATTGAAATTAAAATTAGTATTTGATGGTTGAAAGAATCATGGAACTTTCAGTAAAATTCCAACATATTTTAAAAGATTTTTTCTTTAAAGTAGTTTCATGTTAAATTTTAATAATTATTTCTCTATAATAAATGCTTTGTTTTAATAATATTTTAATTTATAATAAATAATTAATTGGAAATAATGTTTGTTACAAATTTGTGCAGAGAAATTGCTTTTCAATATAAAATTCTTTAAAAAATGATAACGTTTCTTACAAATAAAAAAAATTTACAATTGCAATTTGTCTCTTGATTAGTTATTACATTTGTTAATATATAATTTCAATTTTAGCTTAGTTTCAATGTGTTATATTGCATGAATCGAAAATCAAACAAGATTTAGCGCTAAAAAGGAATATGAAAATAAAGGTTTGGAAAAGTTTTTCGGATCTCAAAGAACGAAATTAATCTCGACAAATCGCACACAAGTCGTCTTGCCGAATACTAAATCGTAGCATAATACAATTACCAAATTTTCATAAAACACCTTTTCATATATGCCACATCCTTTATTATGTATAGATGTACGAAACAACATCGATCAATCGTCTAAGTGACGTACATTTGTTTTTCGAGTACATTTGTTTTCTGCAGGTTCTACAATGTGTAAGAATTCCATATTGTATATAAGAATTCATGCAAGATTTTATATATATTAGATGGCAGAGAAAAAAAATTTAGCTTTCACACAAAAATTCAATTATATATTATTTCTCAATTAAAAAGAAACTTATAATATAACGAGAATATTCTCTTGTCATGACTTTATGTGTGCTTTAAATCTCATAACTTTTTTTTCAAATGCTATGTTCGCTTGTGGTTAAATTATCGAAATGTAGAGAAATAATTTTCATATTTTGATTATAACTTAATCAACTCTACATACATATTCCTATTCATAAGAGACTCATTAATTAATCATAACTGACTTATCTGAAGAAGTAGCTAATAAATTCGCCATGTCCTACATTCATATTAACAACAATACTCAACGACGATTATTAATTAATGATACTAATTATTTTAATCCTCAGTAGTGGCCTGTGCGGCATCAAGGATGATTTCGAAAGAAAATGGCTGGAAACTATAGCCCAAGCCAGAATAGAATTTGCTCTGGAATTCCACCCTAGAAAATAAAAAGCGAGAGTTACAAATAAATTAATGTAGATTCATCAGTAAGCATTCATAAGTATTATTTTTAATTAGATTATATGAAAATAACATAATTTATTAAATATCTAAATATTATTATATAATTTAAATATTAAAATAAATTATTACATATTTAAATATTTAATAACATTATATATAAAATATAATTCGATATTTATCTATATAGTAATAATAATAAGCTTATAAAAATATTTTGCGAACGAAATTTTACCAATGTAAACGAAGTGTATGCAGAAATGCTGAAAGGCCTTCCATGAGTACAAGAATGCCCACAGTGAGTACTGCCCAAAAGGCAAAGATGGCATACAGCACGATACCGCCATCCCATCCCTCTCTCGCTAAACCATTTCTCATCACCATGTTCCACAATACCTCGGACAACTGGGCATGGGCCAAAGATAAGGCCCAGAGACGCAAGTACGACGCGGTGTGCGACACGCTGCCAAGAACATACTCGATGGTGTGAATGCCTTGATGAATAAATATTTCCATCATATTTTCTTCCTCCTCCTTGTGACCGCCATTTTGGGTAACACCTCCACTCTGTTGTAAAGTTCCCATGCTAGCTTCCACATCACCATTCTCGGCGCCGTGATTGTTGAGCTGATAATGCTGCTTTCTGCGGTTGCGCATTAACGAAATTGGCTTCGCCAGCAGCATCCATGGCACGCAGAGTAGAGCTACGACCACCAAAAACTTTTGTAAACCACTCTGACCGCCATACATGTACGGCTCGCATTCGCCAACTTTAGTGGCAGGTTTAAATAGAACCATGTTGATGAAAGTGATGAGAACCGAAGGTGCACAACCGGGTCCATCGATCAGTTCGTTCTTGGGACCATATTTGATCCATTTGATGAACATGAGCAACACCATGTAGAAAAATAACGCCAAGAGAAAGATCACCTGCGGCACAAATTCGCAAGTAATATTGAGACGCTTTTTAAAATACATGTGATTCCATAATCCCACTAGTACGCCAAATAGCATGTGTATTACTCCAAAGATAATGGAGATCTTCATTTTGTATGAATTTTGAAAGATGATTTTATTCTCCGCTAGTTGCCATACCGGATCCATGCCAAATGGGTACGGATAATCTATATAATCTTCAGAACTGGGATTTAATTGCAGATCCTTATTATGCTGAATGGTGCTACGATTATAATTAATCAACCAGTTAGAGCCGAAAATGTTGAGTGATTTGGAGAATATGTCATTGTAGATGAGACCGGTATACATGGAAAACAGGCCCATGAGAAAAATGATGTAACGACCGCCGAAGAATATATTCCAGATTTCATTATCGCTTTTCTTAGCCGCTAATGGTTTCTCTTTCAACACCATCCAACCGCCGAACAAAAACATGATGAGGCCATGACCAGTATCACCGAACATTATCGCGAATAAAAATGGGAATGTGATGATAGTATAGGGCGTAGGGTTCATCTCGCGATAAGAAGCGACTCCGTAAGCATCGATCAACGCTTGAAAGCCCTTCGTGAACTTGTTTGTGCGATTATACGTTGGCGGATCTTCGAAAGTCTCCATGCGATTCAAAATAGGAGGTACAGAACTTCCGCTACGTTCCTAAATATAACAAAAAATATGGATTAATCTTTTATTTCACGAGGGAAAAAATGATAAAAATCGCATTCGTTAATTACCGTTCCGCGTCTTAATGCTAGTTGAATAGTCTCGATGTCCAGGACAGGTACCCAGCATTCAGCGATCAGGCATTTTTGAGTGACATCGAGATTGAAAAGATTGAGAGTATGATAAATCGCTTTAATCTTGCGGACTTTGACGAACCAGTTCTTAATATTCTTTGCGGCAGCTACTAGAACACGATGACGATGATCTTGTGTCTGTCCTAGGACCTGGAAAACAATTGCTCGATTAACATCCATTCGGTAAATTAAATGATTAATTATAAGATTAACTTTAAAAAAAATTTAATGTTTCCATTTAAAAAATCAAACGTCACTTTCAAGTTTCCAAAATGCTTCAATTTAGAAAAATTGTAATTGACCCACATTTTATGTCCTTTTTAAAATTAATTTTAATTTAATCCATTTTTTACAGATAATAGTATTGACATAAATCAAGATGACGATTTTAAATATTCTACATCCATATACAAAGTAGGAAATCCATATGCAAAGAGGAAAATATTTTAACACTATACATACATTATAAACATAAAAATATGATATTCTTACAGTGTTTAAGTCTTCGATGCGAGTCATAACGCCCATCGCCATTTCCCTGCGATCAGCCGGTGCTTCTGGACAGGGATACAAGGTCGCTCTAAAGCCTTCGCAGATCTTTTTTACACGAGTTTTCAGTTGATCTCCTTGGAAGAAGATGATGAAGACTGATTTGTATACCTGGTCCCCCTAAATACATCATTATTGAGTTAGTATTTATATTTCTTCGATTAAATCATAAACTTCGATTTAATCGCGATATAATAATGATTAGAGTTTAAATACAGCCTCATTCTCAAGTGCTTCGATTTAAATACGCATTGTACACTCACCGTTGATGGATCTTCTAAAGGAGTCTCGATTTCCGCCTGGCGTAGAAAGACATTTCCGCGGCATGCACGCCATAACATACGCTCGAACGCGGGGATGCGTTCCCTCAGGATGACTCCCGCGACGAAACTGCTCGTGTGATGACACAAACATCGTATTAATAAACATATAAGAACCGATTAAAGATCAGATATTTAAAGTGTCTATGTGCAAACTGCATGAAAATCGCCGCGATTACGGTTTCTTCGAATAAAGCGTCATGATGATCACTTTTATGGCGTTATAATGAAAATCTTCAATCTGTATCGGTGTCAACGACTCGTGCGGATTTTCTGTGTGAAATTGCTAGCCAAAAATTGGAAAAATGATGATTTCTGTAGCCATGGTCTGTCCCTTTATTTTTTTTACATACCTTGCAGCAATGTAATCTGTCATGATCCTCCTTGAAACATATTCTTTGAATGGACAAACTCCAACAAATAGCATACGTGTGTCACAGGAATAAATCGGGGTATGCTCATTGAATCATTAATTATGCCAAGAATGTATAGAATTTGCGTCAATATATTTTTATTAGATCGGTGTATGTGTATTTTTAATTATTTTAATTTTTGATGTAATTTTTTTTAGTCAAAAATAAACTCAGCAAGATATAAAGATCATAATGTATAATATAAAAGAGTGCAATTTATTATTATTTTAAGAAAATTTTATTACAATAAAATTAAAATTATTATCGCAAACATTTGATTTTGTCTAAAAATTGTTTTTCTTAATTAAAGAAATTAGAAAAATTTTACAATACAACAACCTAATAAAAATATTTTTCTATATTTATGGATAAAATCTTTGCAGTAAGCTTTTATATTTTTTTAGATATTATTCGGTGCATTTTTCTAAGTTTTGAGATTCTTAAATCCTGAAAGGTCTATAATTATGTAATCTTCACACAAGAGAAACTCAGAATAATTAAAATTATCATATTTAATATTATAAATATGAGATTACTTACTATTATAAATGTGAGATTTCTTATAATTCGATATCCAAATACTTATAACTTTTGAACCTTTTAGGATTTAAAAATATTGAAAATATAAAATTATAAAGATTTAGGATTCTAAGGAATTAAAATATCGGAGTAATAAGATTCCAGGTATCTCCAAAGAATAAAAAAATCCGAGAATTGTATCTCCAAGGATTTGATATGTTATGAATATACTGAAAAATTCATAGGAGACAATTTTTTTTTAAGTTATTAAAAAAAATTATATACACTTACAAAAATCCAATCTTGAAATTTTGTCTGAAAAATAAGAAAAAAATTCCTTAAAAAATGAGTAAAATATAAATAATATTTTCTTAAAGTTCTAACTTCTTAAACGTGGGATTGTTTTTAATTTCATTAAAATAATCTGAAGGTGCTTAAGTTTCTGCGTTTTACATGTTTCATTTTTATGTTATCAAAAAAAAATTTGTGAATTTTTTAAAGAAATTCTGGATTTATTCGATTCTATGGATATTCCTGGGACCTAGCGCGACAGGATGAAGGGAGTAATTAGTAAAGGGAGTACGTACCCCAACTGGACAGGGCCGAGGGCGGACTGGCGGGCGATATTATCATCGCTAATCAACGCACGTGTCATGGACTCGGTGGGGTTCAAGCCCGCGTGCTCTTGCTGATGACACAACAGACAAGACACAACCACATTAGCCACACCAGAAACGATCACAATGCTCCAACTTGCCACTTTGTTTTTCGTTTGCACGAATTTTGCTTTGTCTCGTCTATTTTAATCGTCTTAGATAAAACGAACTTGAGATATTTTTTGTTACTACGACGTTTTATAAACAAAATTACTTACAAATAATAGTAAGTAATCTCAAGATTTTTTACGAGATGATGTTTGTAAAAAAAAGTGAAAATTTGATACAATTTATCATCTTCATAATTTAATCTTACGACGATTACTAAATAAGTCCTTTATTTTATTATGTTAATAATAGGATAATTTTCTATAAAAATTCACAATTATTTTATAATTATATAATAAAATAATATTTTATAACTATATAATAAAAAATAATAATGGTATTATATAAAGAGATACATTATAGAAAGTTACAAGAGATTTTATATTTGAAATTTGCAGATTTTTTATTTTTTTCTTAAATCAAGAGACAGTGTCGTGCCATTATCTGTCATTGAGCTGTTCCTCCTTGTCTAAAATTTTTCTATTATATTTTAAATCTTTTAGGAACTAATACAGTAATAAAAAATTTAATTTTTAAATGTCTCGAATTTTTGAATTCTTTATTCTTAATTGAATCCTTACAAAATTCCTATTAATTTTAAATCGTGATTCTCTAGAAATTGTAATGCAAAATGTAGTTTTAGAGGCAGTTTAGATATATCTCAAGTTCGTCATATTATTGAGCTAAATATAAATTTTTTCACACATATGTGGGATAACGATAACGATTCATAATAAAACATTAAACAGTTATTGAGAGTGATAATTAAAAAGGAATCAGAGGCACGACTGTGCGATAGATGCTCGTGTAATTTATACTATTAAAATAAAAAAATATAATTCTTTATATATATTTTTTTAGATATATATTACATATGAATATAATTATTAGGATTATTAAAATCAATATATAATATATATTATATGACAAATATTTTCACAAAATAAATAAAAACGTATTTATATGTTAAAAAAATAAAATAAAATAAAAAATAAATGTGCATATATACACATGTAAATATATATATAGAAAAATGTTATTAAAATTTATAGAATTTCCTTAATCTTAATTAATCAGTCGTGCCTACTGAATATTTTAACAATGGCAAACATTGGATCTCAGTTCAGATAGCTCAAATATTAGAAAAGGTATGTGGCAATATTCTTATTTATCGAACAATCTGAAAAAAAAACTTATAAGCCATTATTATTTTGTCCAGCGATTTTAATACATATTGTGAGGACTTCCTCAAAAAAATAATCGATCAAATTGTTTTAAAATTGACAATGCTATTAAATTTATCTGATTTTCATAATTTTGCCCAATTAATGGGAAATTGTTCAAGTTAAGATCATCATTGGCAAATACGATGCAAAATAAAAAATAAAAACAATTTATTCAAGCACATCATAAGCCAAACCGTTAAATCATTAAAGGGCTTTTGTTGGTTTCTATTGCTTGCAGTGTTAAGAAATTTGAATGTTAGATAATTTTCGAAATTTCTATTTTTAAAATTTACAAAGATATCTTCTCATTTTATAAAAAAGTGTAATCGATCCGAGATTTTCGAGATGTAAGTGAAGATATCAATGTTAAAATATTAAAAATTTAGATTATTAGAAGATAAAGTGTTTATTTTAAAAAATCTTTAAGAGATATGTAATTTATATTTTAGAACTTTAAATTCTTGATATTAAAAAAATTCAACCGCTTAAATATTTAAAACGGAATCCAACAAAGCATCCTTAATGATTTAATAATCCACACTGATCTTGATTAACATAACAAAGAATAAGGACAAGTGCAAAAAGCATGCGAGTAAGCGATATGCTTAAGAGAACACACACAGACAAACAAACAATCCTTTGTTAAGGAGTGAGAACATTGTTATACATACCCATGGCCACACCATCATCATTTATTGTTATTTACAACGTTGTGTATCACTACAACGAAAAATTATTGCAACAATTTTGTCGCGCGAGTGTCGAGATCGGAAGATGAACATCGGATCTCGATCGCTTAGATTGAAGATATTCGATACAGTTTGAATTTTTCTGCTTTAGCGATATTAAAAACGGATGACAAACCGAATCAAACTGTATCAACTGTTATTAGTCGGCGTGATTTCTCGCCGATTTTTCCTCCATTTTTTTGCAATTGATCAGTAAACAATGAATGGTTATTCGTGAAAGCGAACAGTCGCGTCTGTTTTTCAAGTGTGTTTTTAGTTGCAGAGGCATCCCCGAAGACGAAGACCGTAACAAATTTTACTATCAACTATTATTGGAAGCTTGATGGATCTAAAACAAATACTAATATATGAAACATATGGGACTGATACAAAGATAATTATTTGGATAATATCAAGAATCTAGAGTTCAATACTTGATATTGATTATTATTACTAACAATAAAGAAAATATTATTTGGAAATCTATAGGACTTAGAATCTAATGGATCAAGAATTTAACGATAAATAAGGATCTCTGGGAGACATAGAAATCGAAAATTTACAATTCTAGAGAGTCCCTATATTATATTCTAATGGATCAGGAAAATAGCCAGATATAAAAATCGGAAAGAAAAGATAAAATCATAAGAATTAAAATTTGTAAAAAAGTAAAGGATTTCCTCATCGAATAAAAGTCTTCATGAAGGATGCTCCAGCAACGCAAGAAGGATGTGGCTTTACTTATTGAGCGCTTTACAGATGAGCTTGGATAAACATTAGGCAGTAACATCAAGGCAAACAATTTCGCAAACAGATTCGCAAATAACGGTTGATAACAGCTTGCCTGAGCGGGCTCCTATAACGCACTCCTGCGGTGTCTGCCGCATATATAGATGCAGTATATAGGTGCTGTAATCACAGAATACACTGACGTAGGATGCCTCTACTATAATGAATCTAGCCTTCGATATACCGATTATAACATATACAATCGAAATTCTCTATTCTAAATTTTTCTCCAATATTGTCTTTCTCTAATCTAAATTTTTTTCTTTTGCATTATCATCTTCTATCGCTGTAACCAAATCTTAACATTTTTATATCATTAATGCTAATAATTCTAGAATCGTTAGTCTTCTAACTTTCTTATTCTTAATATTTCTACAACGACGTTACTACTCCACTATTTTTAATTTTCCACGTTAAATGAAAAAAGGAAATACTATCATTTTTATGCGTATCATTTTAAGCTAGTTTTTTACTTATCAGTTTACTTTTCACTTTAATGATGTAATAATATATTATTGATGCAAGGCATAATTATCAGTATTTAATAGAATCTAGTCATATTTAATAGACTTTAATTGTTTATTCGAAACTTATAAAAAATTAAAGTAAATCTAAAGTGTGTGTACACACACACACACACATATATATATATATATATATATATATATATATATATATAATTTTCACTCTGTATATATGCCATTTGAATGTAAAATATTTAGACTAAAGAAAATATTCGATTTTGATAATGTCAGAATAGAGAAATTCAATTATATAATGTGTATGAAGAGAAAAAGGAAAAAGATTCAAAAATTCAAGGACGGTATATCTCGGTCAATTTTTTACACCCCCTTTTCCTTGACATTTTGTACAGAAAAGCTTCGTGCTGGGCACAATTTCTTTTTTTTATACGATAATATTTAAACTGAATTTCTAACACAATATGTGATAGATTAGAGTAATAATTGTAACGCAATATAATATTTTCTTAAATATAATAATGTTAGACAATATATAGTTTTATGCACAAAAGCTATTGTGTAATTAGTATTGTGTAATTAATTATTCCAAGTTCTAAAAAAGAGGAAGATAAAATTTGTTGGAAATCTCAAGTATCTCAAGTATCAAGTTTAGAAAAACTCGAAATCTTGAAAACTTCCAAACCCATTTTCAACAATTTGAAATCTTAGAATAATTAAATATTCAAATTCAGCTTTTCAAAATCTAATTTTGAAATGTGCTTCTCACTTGTGTGTGTATTATATTTATTATATATTACAAAAATTATATTTTCAAAGATTTACACACACACACACATATATATACAACAGAAATGTATACTACATAGTATGCATCATGTTATATAAATAAAGACAATATACGTATATTGAGTGTGTAATGTGTATGTTACAGGCTCCATTTACTTTTTGCGATTTTACGATATATCTTAGCCTACTACAAAATCACGTACTCGAGAATACATATAAAAATATTCACCGAGTTTCGTTTACTTTTCAAATTATTTTTTTTCTCTGGATTGCCGATCAATAAAATAATCCATTAATTAAATTTCAACGAATATTTTTCTATTTTTAACAATAAATATATAGTGAATAAACTATAAGAAAAATTATGCAAAACAATAAGAGTTATACAAATACCGCCAGAAATATCTGATAATTTTGAAACATAATTGTAAGGAGAATTGTAAGACTAGAAGTATTGATTTTGCACACTTGTCAAATTCAAAGCATTTCAATCAAATTCAGTCATAGATTGATATCCGATATGTCGAACATTTATAATGGAAATGTATTTTAAGAATAATGAATGTATTATTACAATTCATCGAATATCTCATAAATACTGCAATATTTATCAGAATGAGTGTTTTTAGCCGTGATTTTATATTCGACATTAATATTCTTAGTCTTTAAATTCTTTCAAAATTGTCAAATATTTCTGTTGACTAGTTAATAAGATACATGTATAAATAATATAATATATAAAATATTGTAATAATAAATATAAGATAAAATAATATAAAAAAATAGAAATGAAAAAAGATAGAAATATTTATTGTCAAGAATTGCTAAAAAAAAATTTGGAAATCAATTAGAAAATCTGAATATATTCGTATTCGGCAATCCAAAGATTGATATTAGTAATGAAACGCACTGCGAAATTTAGCAGTGCATATTTTACAACACAAACTGTGGACATGCAATGACGTACTAAAAATGATTCTCGGTCATGTGGAGATTAAAAAAATGCAGAGCGTGGAGATTTAGAACAGCAAACTTGTATTAAAAGAGAGAGAAAGAGAAAGAGAAAGAGAGAGAGAGAAAATAAAATTTCTAAATAAAAACATCTGTATAAAAAGAAAAGATTTGTGAGATGAAATTATATATAATATATAATATATAAAAATATATTATATAATATATTATATAATAATATTATATAATATATAAAAATAAATTTTATATAAAATTAATATATTACTCTTTTACAAGAAATTATAAGGACTGTCAATTGTTAACTATCAAGAAAATTTTTAAAAGATCCAATCGAAAATTTCTTGAGAACCAAGTGTCAAAGAATCTAAAAAAATTTAGGTACAAATGAAATATCAAGGAAAATTTAAGGAATTATTATATCATATTTTCCATAATTAAGAGTTATTAATTAAGATCTAAATTTTGATAGAGCAATTATAAATATAAAAAGAGTATAAAAAGATAAAAAAAAAGTTAGTATGGTAGTTAAGAAATTCTCTTATATATGTATATCTGGTAAATCAAATATACTAATTAAAATTCAATTTTGATGCATAGCATATCCATCTTTGAGAAATCCTTTAAAAGTCGCCACGCTCTGCATTAAACGGATGTACGTCACACATTAATTACCCGAGTTTGAGAGCCTGGCCGCCGGCGCGGAGGCCCTCTTCACCCAACAAAGTGACTTGCTCTTCCTCACGGCTGGGGTCTGCCATCTGCGACACGACACCTCCATGCTCAGCCTGGCAACAGACACAGGTCACCCCTCTTTCGCCCTATCTCCCGCTCCACTTGTTCATAGCAGACTCTCTTTCCTTCTCTCTTTTTTTTGTATTTCGAAATTTTCTTCAATTTATCGACGTCAAAAAAGAAAATGAAGAGGAAGAAATCTTTTCTTAAATTCGTTCTTTACTTTTGTTCAATATTTGATCTGTGTCTAACAACAAGTTTAAATTTTCATGATGCTTAATGATATAAAAATAAAGAAGTAAAATGTTCTAAACAGATTTAACTTCTGAATTTTTAGAAAGTATAAGGATTTATATATATAAAAATCTAAAAAATGCGAAAATTTCACAAAATTAATTTTACAAATATTCAAAATACTGTACACTCCAAACTTTACATGGATTTTAAATAACAAAACAAATTTAATTTCTACATATACACATTTTTCAAAACCTAAAACTATTGAATTCAAAATATTGAATTCAAAAAATCGAATACTAGACGTTTACAATTAAAAATTACAACGTTAAAAAATTCATAGATTTAGACATTTACTTCAATAAATAAGCATCATGAATTCAATAGTATTCATGCAATTTTAATTTCTTTTATTCTATACTTAATAATTAAAATAACGCTTATATTATCGATTATTAATAATGATATTAACATGTAACTATAATAAATTAATTATAATAAGGTAACATACATCATATATACAAAATTACAGTCTTGCTACATGCTACACACACACATGCTGCACATGCAAAGAGTTTCATTCAACAATCCAATAAAGAGGTCACGATTATATATATTTTATCTAAATCTCTAAATATTTCTATTAAATCATTTCTATTAAATTCAAACTCTACAATTATCAAAAATTTATCTGCCAAAAATATTAAAAACTATAATAGTATAATAATAATAATAGATATAATTTGCACGGATTTTAATAATTTTTTAGAATAAAATAAATTAAGAATTTATCCAAATATAAATTATTCAAATATCAACATTCTAAAACTTGAAGCTATGTAAGATTTTCGAACAAATATGTTCCATGTGTAATATGATTTAAAAAGAACAGCTTTCCTAGAATTAATTATATTATTTCTTTCAATAATATAATATACTGAACAAATTTGCATAATGTTAGTGCAATTCATGCATGTTACTATTAATTTATTATCATTATTTATCATACAAAGATGTCATGCTGCATATCGCGCTTAATAGCTTATTTGTGGGACTTTCTATTGGTTTTAATAATTTTTGATAATCTTACATTATTTTCAATAACAAAATGTTATTAGCTTACATTTATTAGTAATATTTATCATATTCATTGTTTATTATTATTATTATTACTATTATTATTATTGTTATATAGTATTATTTTATTCAATATTAAAGATATTTTTTTATATTAATTTTTTTTCAAAAAAATAATTTTAAAATTTATATTATTAAATATATATTAAAGTGATAATATATTATTAAAGTAAATTACAGTTAAATTATTTTATATTAAATTACTCATTAATTATGTGTAAATATTTTATTAAATATGATATGTGCAACTGTTTGTTCCCAAACATGCATATTTCTCAATGTCAAATGACAGATTTTTATTTATGCAAAAAGGAAAAAAGTAAAATGATTAATGGATTAAAAAGGAAGGATAAAATAAAAATTAAAAGATGTCATCAGAAAAAATTAAATTAAATTATATTAAAAATTGAAAACTATTAAAAACTACAGTGAAAACGTATTAAATATTAAACAATAGTAAACAACTAGATTTTAAAATGTTATTAATATTAAACATCTACAATATTAAAAGTATAAAGGCTACTTTTTCAAGAAATACATTTACATAATCCATAACAGTTCTCAGTTCATGTGCAGTAGTGTTGAAACATTGTCTATATAAAGATAACAACAATATACATTATAAATTATTTTCTAAAAATTCTTTTATGTTATATGTGATTAGAAACAGATTAATATTACACATAGCATCTAAAAATCTAAAATTGATTCAATATAATTGAATACAATGAATTCATATGAAACTGTGACCAGACTAGACAACTCTCAAGGGACATAAAGGGAGATAGGGCGGAGCGAATGACTTGTGTCCTTTGCAGTGGCTTTTTGTTAGTTGGCAACACTAACACATTAATAATCCTAAAATCACTCAACAATATATGATTAGTAACATACAATAAGAACATTCTAATGTTTGACAGCTCATAAAATGGAAACCACTGTGCCTGTCACAGACAGTCTTATTTCATTTCATTTTTCTTTAGAATACTCTATTGCAATTGTTTAAAGTTGCACAAGCGCAAAAACAGGCTTTCATATATATATATATATATATATATATATATATATATATATATATATATATCTAATTTGCATATTTTTTAGCTTTCCATGCATTAGAAAAAATTTTGCCCAGCTTGTAGACTTATTGCTTTTTTTAGCGCAGCTATGTTTCTATTAATAATCTTTTCTCTTCAATAATAACATTATAAAGTTGCAACTTCATCACTTTAACGAGATAGTTTTCATTCTTTTGTAGAAAATTATCACAAATTTTTTATAAAAAATATTATATCCTGTGAAAACTTAAAAATATTAAATAAGTTAAAGAAATCTTATTAAGACGATGAATAATTTCAAAGTCTTTCTCTTTCTCTCTTTAAAGTATTATAATTAATATATTATAATTAATTTCTAATTTATATATTAAAAAATATTTAATTCTCTTGAAGAGATCATATATTAGCTCACAGAAATGAACAAATAATGTAAATAAGTATATATTATCTAAAATATCTTTTTATCTTATAAATTCTCAAATATAATAATAATATTTCTCTGCATAAAAATTTAATTGTAGCAAATATAATAGTTTCTTGCTCAATAATAAACATCTTGGAAGCCAAATAAATAATTGCGCTTTGAAATAAAGTATTCCATTGCTGCAAAAGTTCTTATATCTAACAAATTTGACATTCAAGATAAATAATGGCACCATTGTTGATATTTACAGCTCATTGCAAAAGTTTTCCCCCAAGAATTACATTCAAATTGTACAAAACAATCAACAGATTAAAACAAAACACACTTTTTACAATCTCATTCAAATAATTTTTCATTACAAGTCCTTTTTGATCAAATAGATTTCAAAATTCCTTGGCAGTTCATAGTTTTTGAAACAGTAAATTCATATGCTCAGATTATTAAATCATAAAAATAAAAATTTCTAATTTAATGACTTACCTCATCGAAAAAAACTTGAGTCTTCCGTAAAATGTGTTTGAGCTCAGTTAACTCCAAAAAGTTGCGTTTAAGCGCCTCAGCATTCTGGTTCACTTCCCGCAATTCATTCTCTAGCTTCTCAAAAGTGGCTTCCAGATCTATCATCTCTCGAGGCTGTGGAGCCTCCGGGTTTTCACCGGTATCCAGCATTGGAATACCATCTTTCTTGATTTCCTTCTCCAGGTAACGCAGCTTGCGCTCCATTTCATCACAACGACGTACCTCATTGACAAACTTCCGTTGAAAAGCATTGACATCAGGATTTAACTAAAATGAAATAGATATATTAACATTATGATGATGAGGTCATCAAGGACACATAGTTTAAAATGTCTGTGTTGGATGACTATATTTGTATGACTAATGAAAAATTAAAGTTACGCAGAATGGCGAGAGAAAATTATTATTAGGCTATTAAGGAGCGAAATATAATATAATAAGATGTAAAACACTTACATCGCGAAACTGTACCAGCCCGAGCTCGCCGAGTTCGGAGACACAGGCGTAAGCTGCTTCGCTTTGGAGGAACAGTTGACATAATGTCATCTCCTCGCTGCGGAAGAGCGAGCCCATCTTTGATGTTGGAAATAACGCGCCGAAAAGACGATCACGTCGATATTATTTGTCCGACACGGTTCGCCAAGATCCTCTCTCGTTCGTCTTCTCTTCCTGAAACTGCGATCGTGAAAGCCGTGGCAGAGGTAGGGGCAGGGGCAGGGACAGGGGGCGAATAATAATCGATACCCGTGCAGTCACGAGATGCGCGATCGCAGATCATGTGGTAACGCGCGCGCGCGCGTATTGAATCACATCCACAGATTACATATTACACTAGATTGTTAACTTTGATGCTAAATATGATGCTAATGTGTAAAGTCACTAGATTAACAAAGTACCGCAATTTTGATCTCAATAAGATGGAGCAAAAATGGCGTCCGATAGTGCAGATAGTGCACACTTTGTGATTTTAAGATCGCATAAAAGCAGACTATGACAAAAAAGAATGAAAACTATGAACAACTTTGTTGTTTGTTTTATAGATTTTAAAAATGGCTTGTCGTATGCTACATATTTAGAGTTGTAAATAATTTGATAAAAAAATGTTCAATCTGTAAACAATGGTAACGCAAATGAAATATATCATTGTCTCTAAATCATTATATGTAATTAACATATAATGTGTATTTAAAATTAATTTATCAATTTAACTCTAATAAAATTATGAAATTTTTTTCAGGTATATTATTGTTTAATATTGTTTAATTTATTGCTTGTCAGTCATTCACATTTATTAAAAATAGTCACTTTATTAAATAATGTGAGAAACTCTATATTTTTTGCGAATAGTAAGTAGAACTTTTATGGATATAGCATTTTGATAATAGTTTATATTTACAGTAGAAAATAATTTGTATTTCACTGCGCTTTTGTTCTATAGGACCTAAAGATGAATTATGAAAAGGTGTGACAAGTATCAGTAATGCAGGAAGACACAGAGGTAGAGCAAGAAGAGTAGTGAAAAGAGAGAGCTCCTAAATAAGGAGCAAATTATTGGCATGGGAAAAATTCCGATACAATTTCCTGGTCTAAACACTCCTGTGTTTAGCGGAAAAGAATTAATTCAACAGCAAAAACTGCTTGTAAATCTTGAAAGAAAGCAAAAACTTATGGAATTACCACAAAATCAGACCAGACCAATGCAAATAAAATTATCGCCATTGGAATGTGGTTGGACGAGTGTTACAATGGATGGCAGAAGCATTGAATCAGATCTTATTGGAAAAGGTTAATATTTATGCTATTATTGGATTATAATGGTTAAATCACACACATACAAAAATCATGTGATACGATGTCTATTTTCAATTTTTTTTTTGATGTTTCAGTTCTAAATATTAGAATCTTATATAATTAATATCTTTGTTTTCTGCAGATACATTTGAAAGTTTTGAAATCTGGATTTTGGAAAACAAAATGATAACTTGTATGACCGGTAATTTAGCACATAAGACTAGAATCAGTTCATTTATAGTAACTGGAAATGGAAATGGATTAACTGGATTTGCGTTATCAAAAGTCAAAGCATCCCTAAAGACGGTTAAAAATAGGGCTGGTCAAAGACTAATGTATATTCCTACATATAAGGAATACACTGGTAAGAAAATAATTGTCAATACTATATAATATAAAATTTATTTCTTCTCTTTTAATATCACTTTGTATTTTTCAGTGTTACATGATTTCTTTACACAGTTTGAGAATATAAAAATATTTGTAAAGAAAATTCATGAAGGATAATGGGCTTGTTTGTCATCATGCGATAAAAGCGTGTTGCGAGATAATTGGCATAAAGGATATGTATGCCAAAGTACAAGGAGGAATGTAAAAGCATTCTTTATTGGTTTATTGCAACAGGTATGTATATAAAGTATTTAAAGGCATATTACTTTTTATTTAATTTATATTAGAAAGAAACATTTTTTATTTATGAAAATATATATACACATATATATATATATATATATATATATATATATATATATATATATATATGTATATGTTAGACATAAAGCTAAAAAAAAACGTGGATTGTGTCGATTAATTAATTAATTGTTTTATTTAATTATCAATTTATATATGTATATTATTAACAATAATTTTTTGTTTATTTAAACTGTATAAGGTTGTACATAAGAAACAATTTTTTTTATTTAGTATTTCAAGCATATTTTCATAGAACTTTAATTTAATTATTATATTATTAAAAATATTATACAAAATAAAGAATTAAAGCTGGCTTTCTCTGCAGTCTCATGGCAGATTATATCAGAAATCATACTTTAATTATTGCAATATATCATGAAACAAATCAATCTCAAAATAATGGAAATATTTGCAGAAATATCAAATATGTAATATTTGATTAATATAATTATAATATAAAAGAGAAGAAATAAATATTTGATTAATGTAAATATTTTAATTTTTTTGTATGCGATCTATTTTTTATTCTATCGATGTTTTCATAGTGATGCACCTTGAGCACTTTGCTTCATATGTTTGTAATAAAAATATATTAAAACAAATTATTTTGCAAATTTATTATTCTAATTTTTATTTAGAAAGACTAAGATTAAAAAAGACGTATGCATTTTTTTCAGATATTTCTATTGAAAAAAACGCATCAGATAAAACTTTCCTGTACATTTTAAATGTGCCAAAAGATTTGCTCTTTATTCCACTTACTGCAATAATGTACACTAAAAATGACAGATCTATATTAAAAATGATATATCTATATTTAGTAGTTGGAAAGAAAGAGAGGAGAAATGAAAAGTGCATCTAGAGAATTTAAAAGAATAAAAATCTAAAAATAATAATACATAAAAATTAATATTATGTATTTTTTTCATGAGGAATGTGGGGCGCACATTTATGCATTTATTTATTTAGATGAGATTTACTTTAGAGCACATTCAGTATTCAACTTTAATTTTATTTTCTCTTTCTTATGATATATAAGTATAACATAATTACCTGCAAATGCTATCATTTTTGTGTGGTTACAGTGATACAGAAGCAACATTACAAGTACTATATTTACAGATAACATCTGTATAATAAAAAAAGCACCAAAAATCTAATGATGAAAAAAAGGATAAATATTGTAGACCAGCATAAGTATCAACCAATTATTCCACCGCTCTGTTTCATTAGAGTTGCAATTTTCTTTTATATCATAAATATTATAAATAAGATAAAGATTTCTGTACGTTTCAAATAAATTTATATATTTTATGTATGTAATACTGCGCACACATATTAAAAGGTGATAATATCGCAGTTATAAGATACGATCCTGGCAATGTAGTGATTTTTGGATCTTACTTAAAATAATTTAATTTGATTTATTTTTGAGAAATGCGCACAATACTTCAGAACAAATTATTTTTGTGCCATGTATTACCTGTGTAAAATTCCACACACAGTATCATATTGTCTGCGATATATGAAAAGCTTCATCGATGAAATATGATTGAGATATAAGAAAAGTAATATAGTAATGAATACTTGTAATGAATAACTTGTAATGAATGTTAATGTGGAATACATAAATATTTTATATTTTAATTTCATATAATCAAGATGAGATAAGACACTCATGATTACTTTAAAAATGTGTCCACAAATATCATGTAACTTCAATAGCTGCACATTCGTCAAATTTATGCTATTATGTTAAATGAATCACAGCAGCTTGTTTTAATCTAACCTAACCAATTATATTATATGCTTCTCATTAAAATGTGTAAAACTGTACGTCGCACATTTAACACGATTAATATAAAAATAATTAAATATTATTTAATATTAATATAAAAATTATTAAATATTATTTTTGAAAGTTTGAAAGTTTAACAGTTGGCAGCCCTACGAGATAGGCTGTGCAGCACTGCGCGTATATAAAATAAATTTGAAATCGCTTCTAGCCGAACCATCTTCACGCGATCGACTTTATTTGAATTGCACGGCATCGCATCGAATTATGATGCGGCGCCGATGTGTTCGAACGTAATTCGAGACATCGATCCTGTATAAGCGTCGAATGAGCATGAATTGTCACGCAAATATGATAAATCAAATCTACTCACCGTTCACCGGCTGTTCCACAGGCCGCTCCACTCGCTCGCCTCGGGACGTCTCATTCCGATCTTGATGCACACGATACCATCAACGCGAACGCGCGACACTTTATTCGGCACTCCCGATATTCGCTCGCATCTGATAATCATCATCAAGGGCGCGAATAACGCGACGCAACTTCGCTCCATCTTCGCGATGACGCCATCACTGAATATCGTCAAAAATCGCTGTCGCGCGTTTCCATCGACACACTATAAAAGTCGTGCGATCATCCTTGGACACTTTCGACGCTCGTTTACTCGCGTTATTCGTTTAAAAACGGTTAAAAGACGCGAAAAATGCGGACGTACGACGATCCGTGTAACTGCGTATGACTCCGATTCACGCGCCAACATGGCGGCCGTATGACGCGTTTGACGTAGCAGTGACGTAGCAGTGACGTAGCAGTCACGCGCCAACATGGCGGCCGAACCAGTGCGCATTCGTTTCTGCGCATGGCCATTCCTGCACGCAACTTTTTTATTTCTGAATATTGTCTACGGCTTTAATTAATAGCACATAATGATAAATATATAAAGATGGAATCAATTAATCATATTGGTCATATATGTAGACTTGCCTGAAGGAAGAGAAAAAATTGAGAGAAATTTTTAATTTTTTTTTTTTTTAATAAAAAATGGAAATGTCTATTCATAGGCTTGTTCTTCTTTTTCTCTTTTGTGCAATTTCGATTCAATATATAACGTAGAAAATTCATAGTATATTGCATTTATTTTTATATATTCACAACTATAATATTCGCGCGATCATTTTTTGACATTTACAATACTCGTGTACCTTGTTCTCGATGTTCATTTTTAAAGGAATAAAGAGAATTATATATAAATGTAAATAAATGTAAATAAATTGTCCGAAGAGAGAAAAAATTGAGGGATATTTTTAGTTTTTTTAGTAAAGGTTGGAAATGTCTATTCATGATAGAAATGCAAAGAAAGAAAATTATTATGTTTAAAATAATAATTTCATATGAAATACAAAATTAAAAGTTACATTATAGAACTTGACTTTCTAAAAGCGTAATAAAACAATCAAATAGTAGACAGAGAAAAGACTAATTGTAAAAGAAAAAAAGTTGTTAACTTAACTAAACCATTTAACTAAATTATTATCTTTTTAACTGGAATATTTAACTATTATAAATCTAACATGACATTTATTTAACTTAAATATTTCAATATTTTAATTTAAAAAATAATAATTTAGTTAAACGGTTTAGTTGAGTTAACAAAAACTTTTTTTTCTCAATGTACGTGTGTGTGTGAGACTTTAAAAATATACTTGGATATAAATACACTTATATTATTAAACGAATAATACATCTCGTGAGGTTTAATAAATAATTAATCAGTGTACACTGAGAAAAAAAGTTGTTAACTTAACTAAACCATTTAACTAAATTATTATCTTTTTAATTGGAATATTTAACTATTATAAATCTAACATGACATTTATTTAACTTAAATATTTCAATATTTCAATTAAAAAAATAATAATTTAGTTAAACGGTTTAGACGAGTTAACAACTTTTTTTTCTCAGTGTACGTGTGTGTGTGTGTGTGTGTGTGTGTGTGTGTGTGTGTGTGTGTGTGTGTGTGTGTGTGTGTGTGTGTGTGTGACTTTAAAAATATACTTGTATATAAATACAATTCTCACATACGTCACAGTACGCGTTAAATATTTCGGCAGCGAGCTAACACGTCATTCGACCTTGTGACGTCATTTGGCCTTGTGACGTAGCGCGCTATTGTTTACATACGCGACGACCTCCCCTCATTCGCACGGCGACATTCCAACGGAGAAAGTAGCGATACGGACCGCTCCGTATTATCGAATTCTTTTCCTAAAGGTACGATCGCGATTAGATCGAAATATAATAATTCGACTATTACAAATGACAAATAATTAACTCTTATAATAAATGCAATTGTGGCGACGATAAATTCATCGAAACGCGATCTTTCATTATTGCAAATAAAAATTGAAGCGAAAGGGGCAAAAATTACAAATTTTCTCACAATATTCTCCGATTATCGAACTTTACGAATAATAATTATTTCTTTAACATTGCATAGAATGAAATTCGATTTCGCCCGATGTTTTAAAGTTTCCTAAACTGCATGCATATATATCATATTAATTAAACGATTGCTGTATCATCAATTTACATTACTTTAATATTTTAATCTTATGATTCGCGTTATTATGCATATATTATACATCAACAAATAGAAATAGTTAAGAAATAGTGTAAGAATCGAGTGGTGCATGATTTTGGCTTCGTTTAAAAATCGAGCGAATTATTGTAATTTTTGTGTTCCTCTCTTACAATAATAATAAAATAATAATAATATTATAAAAATACTCGTATCTCGTATGATTATTTTGCGATCGGGAGTGCCGTGCAAAGTGTCTCGCGATCGTTTCTGTATATGACTGAAATATAATTAACTGAAATATAATTGTTTGTTCGCGAGTGAATATGTGACTGCTACGAAGAAACAACAAAGGATGAAACAACAAAAGAGAAGGACATCTGGAAAAGTATTGGACAGTCAGAAAGCAGGGAGAGAGCCTGAAGCAGCCAGAGATATGCGGTGAGTAATTTATAAAAATTATTTATTATTTATTATTTATATACACTATTTTTAAAATAGATATATTGCTTATTATTTTATTATCGTTTTATTTTTCGATCATTTAAATATATAATTCGGATTGAAATGCAGTAAAACAATCGAATCGTAGATCTAAATAATTAACTTAACAAAAAGATCCATAAAAGATATATTAGTTCTTTTAATAAATAATATCGTATACTTAATCTATATAAAAATGAAATATTATCTATTTATTTCTAAATATTAAATACTATAAATTTAATAGTTATATATTTTGTAAAATTTAATTAAAAGAATCTTTAAGATATTCCAAAAGAAACGAAGAACTTTTCTCAATGTAGAAAAAGTTAATTATAAACAAATTTATATTTAATTATTATAATTAATTTGTATTTAATTTTATTGGAATTTTATTATTAATTTTATTGCATTGTCAAATTGTCTACGCAATCTCTGTAATGATAGCTATTCACGAAATAGGTACAGTGAAATAATCAATTATTATCGAAAAGAGGCAATAATATACTTTTAAATCTAATTTAAACTTTTGATAAACGATATAAAATTTTTTTATTATGATGAGATATCTTTATTAAAGATTATAATTGCAAATAAAAATGGAAATAACTTCACGAAGTATATTAATCGTTTAATAAATAATTAATCCGTGTGTACGTGTACGTGTGTGTGTGTGTGTGTGTGTGTGTGTGTGTGTGTGTGTGTGTGTGTGTGTGTGTGTGTGTGTGTGTGACTTTAAAGATATACTTGTATATAAATACACTTGTATATAACTTTAAAAAAATATATTTCCGTTATGTTAATTATTCGATTTTTATTCGATCGTTTTATTGCGCGTTCTGAATCAAATTATATTTAGATCAAATGATATCAGACAGAATATTTATTTATTATATTAAAATTCTAATAAATGTATGTGTGTGTGTACACATATATATTAGGATAGAAACGAAATAGAAATAGAAGAATAATCATTGCTCGTAAAGATTGCAACAAAGTAATAATTTATAATTTTGATTCCTATCGTATAATCGAGTATCGTATTTCGAGAGCAATCAACTTTTTATTAATAATAAAATTGTATATAACTTACGAATATATTCCACTTATTCCGGACGTTAATATCGCGACAACGACGAATAAACTTTTCAAAAAAGTTCAATTCAACTATTTCTTATATGAGACAGTTCTACCAATCACTGATACAAAAAACTCGTCAATTGACCAGTTGGTGAAACTGTTTCAGTCCTGAGTATTTTCTTAAAAGAGCTGTTGGCGCACATACATGCGTGTATTATGTTTACGCGCGTCACGCGTTCGAACGAACCTGACATTCTCGCGGGTAAAGTCACTAGATTAATAAAGTACCGCAATTTTGATCTCAATAAAGGTGCAATTTCATCGACGCTAAAAAGTAGCATCAACCATTGGTTAAACAATGAAGCAACTACTTACTTCTTTGTTCAACCAATAGTTGACGCTACTTTTTAGCGTCAATGAAATTGCACCTTAAAGGTGACCATGGGACGCTAGCGCCAGCTACCAACGCTGTTTCCATTCTGTTTACATTCCATAGTGGTGACGTCATCCAGCCTGGGGCACGAGCGAGAAAGGCAGCGGCATAAGTGCGCACAAAATATCGCCGTATTGTCGTGCGTAGTGCGTCGTACGAAATACTTGTGATCATTTCGTAGAATAATTATAATTAGTATTATTATAATTAGCTCGCGCGATTAATCATTAAAAAACAAAACACATGGAGTAAAGATTTGAAGGAGAATTGTTTGATTCAAAAAAGGTGAATTACGATTCAAATAAGGATCTTTGTTTTCAAGCATGCGCAATCGTATCTAATTTTCTTAAAGTACTGTGAGCATGGAAGGCAATCTATTCTTCGCTTCACGTCTATGGTTACATGTGATCTGAAGTTATCACATGATCATGTCCGAAATTGATCGACGTTAAGGGAGTGTCTTCCGATTTTAATAGTTTTCTCGAGTAACAATGATTCAACAATTGTCGTTTCTTCTCGGCATTCTTGCCACAGGTAATTCTTTACTTTCTTTACTTTAAGAACAATATTTTAAAAACAGAGATGCTTCAAGTTTGCCGTGATTGAACTTCTAGCTACGGAACCAGTCCACTTTTCTTTAACGAAAATCGAAACATTTAGAAATATATTCAAACTTATTTTAGAGGGAGAGCAAAATATCCTCATTTCATAAACTTTTCTAATATTTTAAGTTTTTCATTTATTAAAAGTTAAAGTTTGTTTATTTAATACTCCGTTCTTACACTTTGACTGTTTTATCCTAATATTTGCTTTTAGTTTATGCCAGTGGTGAATTCATGGTTCTTCATTCACCTGATAGTGTAGAATTCACTGTAAATGGAGAGATTGAACAAAGCAATCTCAAGGAAATCTTATCCGCAGCACTTGGTTACACTGCAAAGCAGGTATACAATCTTTAAATTATTAATAGAAACCTTTAAATGTATAAATTGATGTGTTGAAGATGTGCCGCAGAGCTTTGAAAATATATAAAATATTTAAATCATTAAAGGTTTTAAAATTTTGCTTCATTGAATAAATAAGAAGGAACTGAATTCTTCAAAGTTCTATCTTTGAAATCTAAAATCTTTAAAGTTTTGCATAATTTGGATATTATAGCTATATTATATTTAAAGATCTTAATCTAAATATATTTATGGTGTTACAGAAAGATGCGTATCATAACATTGCTATTTGGGATCCGTTTTCAATTCCCCGGGCATTGGTTGTTATAGCGTGTGATGGAATGGAGACATTGCCTCCTATGGAAGACAAGAAAATCGTATATCCTTTGACCGTTGATGAAATGGAAGAGACTACCTGGCAAGCACTTAGAAGCAGAGTGGAGGAACGAAGCAATGTTAATACTTTAGTCAGAATTAATTTAAGCGATGGAGTTGATGCTGTAAGCAAAATAGATAAAAAATTAGTTAACAATATATTTCCAAGTAATCTAATATCTTATTAAATATATATGTGTACTAATATTTTTATTATATAATATATATATATATATATATATATATATATATAATTTTTTTTTTTTAAGATTTTGATATTATAATGCTATGTCATTATATTATTATGATACTATTCTCTCTCTTCTACTTCCTCTCTTCTTTTGTTTCTATTGTTTTTCTCCATCTCTTTTCTTTTTTCTAAAGAAGGATTTAATAATCAATATATTTACTTTGTATATATCTATATTTTTTTTGTCTCTTTTATTAATTGTTTTATTAATTATGTTCTAAATAATATTTTTTAAATATAGCTGGGCCAATCGGCTCTCGGCGAACTGAAGCCAACTAACATAGAGAAATTAAATTCTCTAAACTGGGAAGTCGAGGAGGATCGCAAATTCGTCGAGGTGATACAACTTCTTAATGCTATTGCTGATAATGCATCCTCTGCGAAGAAACATGATCCTGGCACACATGTCTATTGGCTGGTAGTATCGGGTTTGAAAGCAATCATGGAGCTTCATGGTAACATGTCAATTGCAGCCACAGAGGCGTCTACATTACTGAAACATGCAATGGAACATATAAATACAGCTTTTGTGGATGGTTATGATGGCAAGGTATGTTAATTTACTCGCAATTTTACTTGTAATAATTATAACTGTATTGATTTCTTTATTTTTTACTAATTATTAGCCTATTTTTACGTTAATTGTTGTATATGAATATAATTACAGATATTTTCACATATTTAAATTCCGGGTATCCGTTCTAGGTTCTTGTTGTGGCATTCACGAATGACGCCAGCAAGATGAGGAACGCCCGCTCCGTACTTCTTGAAAGGCAGCGAAGAGATACTCCGGTAAGTGTTAATATTATCATAAATTTTACATGCATTTTGCAATCTCTATTTTGTTTCAAACATAAAAATATTTGACAGAGAAAAGAAATTTGAAAGAAGATTTATAACAACATTTAAAAATAGAATTATAAAAAATTTATAAGTTTTCTTAATTATCAATATTTACATATAATTGTCATTAATATAATTATAACATAATTACACTTCCATATAAGATGATACATTTAGGCCTAACATTATCTTAAATATTATAGAATAAAAAAAACTGTTAAGATTTTGTAGGGGCAATTTTATTTTATTATTAAGATAAAAAGAATATCAAAAAAATAAAGTTGAAAAAAATAAATACATTGATAAATGCATTGATCTCTAAAAGTAATAATTATAAAAATAATCTATTTATTTTTATTAAATCACAATGTGCAAGAAAAAAGAGAATCACAATCTGAAATTATTTAATGTATTATTCTGTTCATTCTATGATTGCAACAATATAATGTATTTTATTAAACATTTATAAAACAGCAAATTTTGCAACTGGTTTAAGTAAGTATATACTTAGTTATACTTTTTTTCCGCTGATTGATTATTTATTTTCTCATTTGGAATTAGGAAGGAATTGTCAATCTAAGTTTTTAACACAATTATCAACATTTGACTCCAATTATTCATTTTTTATTGAGCATAGAAATTGCAATATTAATTCAATATTAAAATGTATTTATACTTTATCTGTACTGATTTTATAATTATTATGGGATATATTTTATAGGCTTATAAGACTAACAGTGTTAAATCTACAAAGGGTGCAAAGGGAGCGCCAATTAGTTCAGACATTAATAATTTTTTGGTCAAGGTATCGTGTCGAATCACATTGCATGAATTATTACTTGATTGACAGTGTTTTTTTCGATTTAGAGGTAGTTTTCTGCATGAATCTCGCGAACACGACGAATTACTCGAAATACTCTAATCAACGAAAACTTACAAACTTACTTATCATCAACTGGCCGATATCTATCTACATCATGTTCCCCTTTTTTCATTGTCTAATTTCTCTAATTTATGAAATTTTTTTAAGTTTCTGTAACTTGGCAAAACAAAGACATTCATCAAATTAAATCCTTTATATTTTAATCTTAAATTTTGATATTTTAATCTTATTCTTAAATTTGATCAAAACAAAAACTCGCGATTTATTCTCGAAATTTAGATTGTCGCCAATTTTTCTCGATTTTCATGGAAATTGTTAAGTTTAAATACATACTATAAAATAACATCCTAAAAATCAATAAAAATTGAAGCTTTATCGACAAATTAAAATACTCGCGAATCTTGAAGTTGTAGTATCTTCGGAGTGTTGAAAACTGATGCTTTAATTACTTTACTGAGATACTGAACAACACTGATTGTAGCAAGACGGCGAACGAGACGAGCAAAATAATAAAAAGGACGAAGAGGAGATAAATAGTATGAGTAGTACTAGCGAGTCCACTGTCGACAGCACTACTGAACGTACGGGCGTTCAGGATGATAGCGGGACGTCGGAAAAATCCGACCTGGACTCCGTTAATAAGATAGATACTAACACACAGACAATAGGACAGGTACATATTAACATGCATCACAATCGATGGGTCTAGGGGAAAATCAGATGGGTCTTTTTGATTTAATATCTTTATATTTTGATACCTTTGTAATCTCATAATATTTTTATTTTATTGATTCTGTAAAATAAAAATAATGATATGATATATCAAAAAAAGAGAATAAATTTTACATCATAAAAATTTAATAAATAAATTTACGGAGAGAAAAATTAGAAGAAAAAGAACAAAACTTAACAGATATAATTCTATGTACATATTGCAATCAAGATAGAATTTAAATAAAATAATTTAGCAAAATTAAAGTAAATTGTAAAAAGGTAAAAATAAAATTTCTACAAGTTTAAAATTGTGGAAAAATTGAGAAAATATGACTTGTCAAATTCTTTCCTGGGCCCTTCAATTGTTTTCATTCTGCCAAACCTTATATACGGAATATTAGAACACTTGAGTTATAAGGAGATTAATTTAGCGTTTATCAAATACTTTAGTAATATCAAACAAAAATTAACAAAGAATTTTTCGACACTTATTGCCAATTTAGCTTCAATTTCTTAAAAACTTTTGATTACATGATTCTTGTTTGCATTGAGGCTGTAATCTGCTATTGATGTTAATTAGTTAGTGCTTATATGCCGCTTAATCATAGAGGTTTCTTTAATTAGACAGCGACTTTTAAATAACGAATTTTTTTATCGTATCTATATCTGAGAGGCAGAAGGATATAAGTTTAAAGAATTATTTTTTACAAAGAAGTTTAATTATTTTATGCCAATATTATCATATACATAAATATGTATGTTTCAAAAAATTTATAATTTGAAATTTACTTGTTACCTTCGGCTTCTCAAATGCTAAATTATAACTTTGCATGAAGGTTTGGCGTGTTCAATATTGCATGTGTACATTTTAATAATGACAATAAACTTACAAGTGTGACGACTTTTGATTGAGACTTTTCGTTGGAAAGAATTTAATTGGATAATTAATTGTTTAACAAATATCAAGAGTAGATTTTGTTGACGAATTTTAGATCTTTGAAATCGTGACGTATGTTAATTAAGAGAACCTCTTTTATGCATCAGTATTTCGCTAAATTTTCTGACCTCACGTATTCGAACAAAGTGTGTAAAAAGCGTAGAATGCTAGTAAATTTAGCAGGTATACTATACTAGAGGCATTTACAGAATTGAGTTATAGGTTTCTCAAAGACCGCTCTTATCTGTTCGGCGTTACATCGATCTTTCTGTTTCAGCCCGAATTTTCTGGCCGTGCGAAAACTTACACAGAGAACTATCCAGTCATCTTCAACATATTGCTGTGGTTCGGTGTTATTTTCTTCTTCTCGCTGTTAGCTATTTGTAGTACGTATTTTCTTGAATGGCAAATCGTATTTAATCGATTTTACTTGGATTTATTTTGAATATATAACGAAACTTTCATGCGCGCAAAGTACACTTGAGAAATAATATTTAAAATTAGAAATCTTCGAAATTTTAATTAAATGTGAACTAAAATTCTTGATTTCCTCATTGCAATCTTATCTAATTATGACGTCAAAAGTAAGAAATTATATGATTTTTTTTTTTTTTTTTGAGGAATATTTGAAGTAAATTAATTTTTTTTTTCGTATATCTTTTCCTGAAATACATCGGACTTTTTGATTTATAAGTTAAAAAAGCTAAGAATTGTGTGCTGATTAGTTTTTTTTGTTATATTTAGTCTCTATGATAAAAATTCGGATGAAAACTCGGAATTCTCTCTCGAAATCGATAGTCATATATTGATATTTTCAGTCGCCATCGCGGATATGGATCCAGGACGGGACTCTATCATTTACAGAATGACGTCGAACCGAATGAAAAAGGATAATTAAGTGTGGATGTATATAGTTGTAATTTTGTGATATGCGTTCTGTGTAAAATATACTTATCAGAGCGCTCCTGTATGCGTAATTTATTAGCTTAGTTGAAGAAAATTCAAGTAGCAAGGTCTATTGCACATTTCCGTATATATTTCTGCAAATTGATTGACTCAACTTTATCAGAGTCATTAAATGGCAAGGATATAATTATATCTCATTTCATTCAATCAAATGTGAAAAGTAAGCAATCGTTGCATTAAAAATTGCGCAAATTTGTATATTCCCTTGAAAGTCAATAAAAATTGGCTTATATCTTAAATGTAATATAATTATCAAATTAAAGCATTTTAATCGTTAAAAATGTATAATTTGAATAAGTTAAATCTCCAGTACTGTAAACATTCAAAAATAATCATTATGATATTTATTGCATTTCCGTTGTCAAAAAAAAAAAAAGATATCACTCTCGATTGCCTTCAGTATTAAAGTAATGTTCTCTTCGATATAATAATTTCGATCTTCATATGTATATGTAATATTCGATTTTTAAAAGTTTCGTTTTTAAATTCAATACAGATAACACATTATTTCAGATAATAAAATACACAGTCACATTTGACATTTTTCACATGTTGAAAATAAATTGTACACACAAGAACATCAGAAATATTAAACCAAATGTCGAGTTATAATATTTTAGTATTATCAATGTAACGCGTTCAAGTTAGCTATTTTTATGTTGGATTTTTTGACACACAACAAATATGCACAAACTGTTTTACTTTATTTCTTTCGTATATTTTTTTGATGACTCGTATATTTTTTCGCATGATTTTGTATGACGCGCATCCCAATGCAAATAGTTTTATCTTTTTCGTGTGACATTAATTTACTCCTTAGATCGAGAATTCTATTTGCGTATTTATTAATGCGAAATAATAAAGTTCAAACTTTCGCGGTAAAACTTTGACACGTGATCTCATGAATTCAAATGCGCGGGAAACTTCATATCGTATCCAACGTCACTTCGAATTGTCGGGGGTAACTCGCTCCACGTCTCTGGCATATTTTATTCGCCGAAAATCAAGATTTTGCGCAAGCAGGTGAGTACCAATTGTGCTGAGATGAAAGACAAACGATTTTCGTAACATTCGATCAATCGGATGATATATCGCTCGCGTCCGTTTTTTTTATTTATGTCTGAAAACTAGCAAGTATGATGAAGCCATAGTCACAATCTCTCTCCGAGATTGAAATTTCTTCCGGTCACAATTATTTTGATCATTTCGAATATTAATCATCAAAGAACCTCTGAAATACGTAAGAATTTTTAATCTCTGAGAAAGTGAATTCGATTATTCAGATTCAGGAGAGCTCTATTAGTTATATAAAACGGAAGTATATTAGTTCATATATTGTGTATGGCTTCAACATGAAGTAGTAAAAGGAGCAATCAGTGGCGGGAAAGTGAGTAAACGCTTAGATACATTTGTTTATATAATAATAGAGGTACTTATATACATGTGTATATTAAAATTTTCTAGTAATAATTAAATGATTAAAAGATTCATTTCAACGCACAGCGTAAAGAGAATATTAAATGTTACAATTCAATATAATAATTGCAGTGAAGAAAAAGAGAAAAGTGTTAGATTAAATATTAAATATTAATCTTCATGTTTTTTTGGACCCTTACACTTTAGCAAGACTGAATTACGCAAGTACTTTCGTCGTTGATCTTCAAATCTCATGTTAACGATAATATCGATAATATCGAAATGTAGCAGTGTTTTTTATAAACGACATACGGCCGCGCAATTGCGCAACTTATTATAAATGTATCTCTGATTTTTCAATTTCCAAGTATCTTACCTTGAAATACTTGTTTCAATGGATTAGACATTATCAAGTCAGGTCCGTGATTGTATTTTCTGCGCGTGTGTATATATAAATATGTGAATGTCGCGATATATTTATGGATAATTATTATGTCGCGCATTTTAATTCACATTTCTAACGGTCGAATAACAAACTTTCTCTTTGTTTGAAAGAGAATTAGTTATTAGTTATTAGTTTTACTACTAGATTTTATTCTTAAATAAATAAATTTTAATGAGACAAATTTTGAATACATAACATAAATATAATATGTTACAAAGTAATTATTCTAAATAATCTATTAATTTTTTCTACTTTATATTATTATAGCTTTAGATGTTTCGATGAGTTTCTATTTTCATTTATTGAATGTATAAATTATCAGTTTATTAATTCATTCAAGATTTATTATGCTTTGCTTGTATTATCAGTTCGATAAATTAATGATGCCATTTTTTAAGGAATTTATAATTGTATTATTGCTTTATTATTACAAAAAAAACATTAATTTTATTCTGCCATTACGTAAGTTCGTTTGTTTTAATCTCTTATAAAAAATTATCTTGCCAGACATTTAAACTTCCAAATATAATACAAATCAAAACATAATGAGTTTATCGTTTTTTATCACTTTTTATGTTCATAACAATGTGCTTATCAATTTCTTGATGATTCACACAATCAATTATTTTGTTCTTTTTTTATATTATTGATGATTCTCGCAACAATACGCGCTATTTAAAGCTCTTTTAGTAATATATGTATTTTACATTTATATATATATATATATATATATATATATATATATATTCATGAAACAAATCGATTTCTGTAGAAATTCATAGAAATGTATATATTTATAGAGAGAATTTTTATACCAACTTGATGTTGAAAATTATGATTTATGAATATATTATTTATTAGAATAAAATTATATAACAATAGGATTTAAATATTATATATATATATATATATATATATTATATATATATATATATATATATATATATATATATATGTATATATAATCCATTTAAATTCTATATTATATTCCATTTAATTTCTTTATTATATAACTTTATTTTAATAAATAAAATATTAATAAATTATAATTCTCAACATCAAGTTGATGTAAAAATTCTCTTTCTAAATATTTACACATTTCTGTGAATCTCTACAGAAATCCGATTTGTTTTATGAATATGATACGTAATTAGATGATGTGCGTACAAATTAAGTTTAGTTTTATTTATTTAAGGTAATCAAAAAAGAGATATAATATCACATTGAGAATCAATGTGATACTTTTTATATGATATATTATTATATATTCTTATGTGATGCTTTTTAATGATGAAGATTGCGATAAATATATTTAATAAAGTGTAGAATATATCAAGTATAAAAATCGTGTTAAAAATTCGGGAAATGTTTATAGCAATCATATAATAACTTAACATATGCATGTGTATACGTGATTTAATTTAATGTATATATATATATATATATATATATATATATATATATAATTTATAATTAATAACATTAGATTATAATGATGAATAACATAATGAAAACAATCATAACATACAATAAATGTATATAATCAATAAATACATTAGATGATTGTTGTCGCGCGATATGTAGGTCTTAATAATTGATATCTAAATAAATACGAGATAAAGTTCAATTTAAAAAGAAAGAAAAAAATGTGAAAAGTAATAAATCGAAAGACAATAACGCACGTAAGAATGAGATTAAATTCTTTCTTCTTTTTTTCTGATATCCAATACAAAATATCTCTATCTGATTGTTTCGAGTCGTATCAAGGATCGTATCATGATATATAGATGCTGCGCGCGGTAAGAACTGAGGCCGACTCCTCTCGGCGAAGGTTTTCACCCCACTTTCGGTTCGATACGACCCCCCCTACCTACGCTCTCGTTGCGTACCCACCCCACCTTAAGTTCCTCAACAACACCTGTCGTTACGACGGCGAACGCGCGTCTGGCTTTCCGCTAGTCTGATGTATATGCGGTTGTCGCAGGTTCTCCAGAGATTCTTGTCGCGTGCAGTGAGTCCTGTCGCCTGCATTGATTGTCGTTTTCTTTTTCCAGCGCGATTTATTTATTTCTCGTTACGTGTTAGTCGCGCGTCGAGGTTGTCGTCCGGATTGTTTTTCTTTTTTCTTTTGTTGTTACGAAAAATTGTGTCAAATCCAATCGAAAGGACTTTTGGTCCTTGTCTCAGTGATAGTGTGGAAAACAAGGGTTCGTTATGTGGAAGAATGAAAATTATTTAAAGTGAATTTATGACAACTTCGATTTTGAACAAATGTCAATTCCGTTATATTTGATTAAATCTCGAAAACAATTTCCTAAAAGTTTAAGATTGATCATTTTAAAATGATGCGCGAGCGCTGAGATTTTTATTGACAGACGTGATAAATCAAGTGTGAAAGATAGCATGATTGCCGTATAATTTGTTGATTTATTTTACTGCTAGATATTTAGTTTAATAAGTTCTAATAAAATTTCTGGATCTAACAAACTCTAATAATATTAGTTTTAAATAATGAGTTAAGTTTATGTGTATTTGTGTGATTTAAATTTTATTTAACGTCTAAAAAATTTAAGAAAGAATTTAACGAAAAAAAAATTTTATAATATTCTTTCAAACAATTTTTGTATTTACACATATTTAACTTACTCTTTGGAAGATTCATTATTCAACAATTTTTGTTCGTATTAAAACATAACTCTTTACTAAAAAGTTTTATTAGGTTGTCGTGTAAAAATAAAATTATACGGATAATTATTAATTATATATACATATAAAACATAAAAAAATAATTTGATTGTAGTATTTTTAAAGAATTGTAAAAATTGGAAATTGATTAATTATTGCAGAAAAGTGCATATTGTATTCTTTAGAATCGGATGAAAATCACGTGATGTGCGCATTGTCGTGCTACTTCGAGACCAGTCATACCTGTAATTCTGCATCCACCACGTGGTCGATCGCAATCTTATAAATATATTTATTGTACCCGTGATGATCTAGGAAAATATTATCTTTCATTGTATTAATCGATATTTGAAGATCGTATTTACATCCAAGATCGAAATCTATATAGTTTTGGCGAAGCCAATTTGCTATATAGATTACTTTATAGATAATTTTTTTATATCTTTATTATACTGTATCTGTAATAAAGATAAAAAAATATTTCTTCTGTCGAATATCACGATTTCGTAAATAAATATAAACTTAGTTTTGTGGAATCTGAATTTATTGTGATTATATCAGTTTTAATTCGATCTTCATTTCTTCTTTGAACATTTTCTATTTAATTATTTTTGCATTTGATGTAATTTATATTAATTATTATATAAATAACAATAAGTAGTTATTTATATAAATAATTATATATTTAATATAAACATACTTCGAATCAGATTTCTCAAATATCCCAAATACAATGTTTCTGTTAAATTGTTTTGAACTTGTGAAAGAAGAAAAAATCAAAAACTATAAATAGGCAAAAAAACAGAAAAATATTTCAAAAAAAATTCTCAAGAGAAAATAATTTCATGTTTTGTTTATGTAAATTTATTGCAAGTTTGTGATTGAAGAATCAAAGTAGGAAATTCTAGAACAATTTTAGAATTATATAATATCGTGTATGTAAAATAAGCATTAAAATTCTTGCACAGAGATAATTCGTATATTAGAACTAATGATAAAAGCTTTAAACTAATGGAAAATTTAATTCTCGAGAATTACAAAATTTGAAGATAGCTATGAATAGTCAAGTTAATACTATATGTATGTGTGCTAATGTTTGAGGAAATATTTAAAATTTTATAGCAATTAAAATAGTGTTGTAATAAAACAAAATGTTTGTTCGCGAATAAGCACTGTTTTCTTCCATATGTCGAACAATAAGGAAACCAACTTGTTAGTAGAATGATTTATGTGATTACCGTGCGTATAAGAATCAATATCAGAGAATATTAATTAAGTTCACTGATTTTCTTAAATAATTTAGGTGGTGTACACATGAAAACGGCTAATTTATAATTTAAAAAGAATTTAGATATTATATTGTAATATCAAGACAGTCAATGAGATTTCTCGATTTATTTTTGAGAAAAACCGATAATTGAGAAAATATAAAATAATTCGTAAAAAAAATTCATTAAGAAGATATCTTTGAAATTTTAATGTTCTTTTTTAAAAAACGAAATATATGTCGCAGGAAAGTGATTATTTGAAAAAGAAATATCGAAACCTTTTTTTATAAAAAAAACACTCTTAAAAACATACTTAACAAAAAAATTCACGGAAGGGAAACGTTATCGAAGAATAATTCTTTAAAGAACTATATTTAAAAAAAAAGTTTTTAAAGGAATATTTTTGTGAAAAGATACATGAGATGAAACCGTTTGGAAGAATGGGTTATTAATAACAACAAGTTTTGAAATAATTATTTATGAAGAGACTATTTTAGAGAATTCTTTTGAAGATATTCCAAGATATTCTAAGAAAATATTTTGAAAATATTTTTGAACCGTCAGTGAACAGTCTACATCAAAAAGAAAAATGTATGCACACACTTTCTCTCTCTTTCTCAGATAATAGTTATCTTTTCCTTGACTCTCTTGAGAATCTTTTTGAGGAAAGAATCTTCGAAGAGAAGTGGTTTATTTATTCTTATAGTTTTCCTCCTCTTTGCTTTTCAATCTGATTGACCTTTCTTATTCTCGAAGCTGATCGCTTTCTATTTCTGGATTTAGTGAAGATTGATATTTCTTCGCTGATAGACAAGAATGACACTCGAGGAGTTATTTGTACGATCATCACGAGACGTCGCGACGCTGGGTCGACGAATTAAGCGTCGCGACTTCGGTTTTACGTAATGTCAATCTGCTGCTGCTGCTGCTGCTGCTACCAACATCATTGGGAGGACTTGTCAAGGTCACGGGTTGCGGAAAACGCACTGCAGGCCTGTAACGAAACGCCGTTGCTGAAGCCACCATTCATTCTACTGGCTTAGTGAGGAGCGAAGAGTTTCACAAGTCGAGAGAGCGGAAGCCCTTGAAGAAATCAAAGAAGGTGAAAAAATTGAAAAAATAAACAAATTCACTATTTATGAAACGGGATTTAAAGCATTGAGGAAGAGACGAAAATAAGAAAGAAATATAAATAAGAAAGAAGAGACGAAAGAAACTTAAGGCATTAGATGACGAAATTAACAAATCCGAGAGATTAGAAGATAGATGGAAAACGAAAGAAGCATTAAGAAAAAAGGAAATTGGAGAAACTGAACTGAAAAAAACACACACACATATATATATATATGGAAAATGAAGATTGAATAATTAATTAAAATTCTATAAACAAAATTAGAAAAATTATTAAAAGAAAAATTGAATTAGCTAAAGTGAGAAAGAGTTGACGATAAGTTGAATAAAAGAGAATATGCGGAGAATAAAATATAAAAATCGAGGAAAAATTAAGAAATGAAAACGTTAATTGAATATCAAGATATAGGTTGATTCTTTTTTTAAAAATACTTTTTCAAATCTTTGAAATTTTCAAATATCGAGAAAAACAAACATTTAAAAAATTTTTCTCTTTTCTCTTCCGTTGAGTACCGCTTTTAATTTTCTACTCGATTCAAAACACTGATTCTTGAATTTTTATGGAAATCAAGTTAAATTAAGAAGATATCTTTACGCATAGTCGGAAGAAGTAAAGCTGAAAAGAGATATTATCAGACAATCTCGAAGAAATCTAAGCTCGAAGGCGACTTGGACCTTGCCTGCGGAGAACGTCGTAAGTGTCTTTTCCTGTCTAGATATTATCAGGCACCTTTCTTTGAGGAATTTTTTTTGTTCGTATTTGAGGGACCTTTGACGAAGGGGTCGCGGAAATTAAGCGTGAGAACGTACTTCTAAAATTTCGAATGGAATTTGTTCACACTATTGTTATTTTTGTTTCAAGTGTCCTAAATCACGAGTCCTTTTAAGTTTGCTCGCAGATTCGTCGCGACTTTCAACGCGGACGCGTATTATCAATACTCGCGGATTAGTTCTCGAGTGTTTTTTTCCTGACATAAAAGACATTTTTGTATTTGTAGAACAAAAGGATTTCGGATTGATAAATTGTATCGAACAGTTTTATTTCTGCGATAAAATCGTCGCTTAATCCAGGTAGATTTCGATATTTAATTAAAGATTTTTATTTTTAAGATAATTTACAAAGATATTTTATGAAAAAAGATTTGGAATCATTATTTACTGCAGATTTTTTTGCTTCAAGTCTAGATTTAAGTCGAATTTCCGTCAAATCGAAAAATCATATATTGCAAAACATTATAAAGTTCTTCTTTCGTAATTAACAGAAACAAAACGGAAAGTAAATAATTCTACATGCAAAAATAAAATAATAATAAATTATGAAAAATATTATGCGAGGCGTTATTTTAAAAATTGAATAATTGGAAATATCTTTGTTTTTTTAAATTTAACACAACTATACAAATATAATGTAAAAATAAAAATCTTGATATTTTACGTTATTTATCCAGTAATTTAGATTATTTTATTAAATTTAATATTTTTTTAAAGGTAATATTTTTTTCTCTTTATTAATGTCTATTATATATATTTCAAGATGAGTTTGATGTGTGAGAATGTTAAATTATCTAAGTTTAAAAAAGTATAAAGATATTTTATTATTCTTCGATTTTCTTCTTATTTCTTGAAAACAAAATCATAAAAGGGATATTACTCTATCTTTTCGACTTTTTTTCTCTTCTTATAAATTATTAGGCCAAAAATTCTCCGGTATCTCTCTATAATGTACATATCAGGTACATTTTTAATTAGAAAAGATTACGTTGGAATTGGAACTGCATTTCATGACTAAAAAGTATCGCTAATGTTAGAAAAATTAATAGTTTTTTTACATCATACTCGCTAAAGTAAATCAACGTGTAAATCTAAGTGTCATAAAAAGCAACGTTATATTTGCCAATCAGGTGAGCACAACGGCGAAGGACGCCGGATGCCTGACGTCGCGACGCTTCGTGGGACTTGACAAGAGCAGACAGGACGATGAGCGTCAGAATAGTTGTGAGTGTCACCGAGCTTACGAATATGGATGCCAAGGATCGTTATCTTGTCGAGGGTATCGGTAAGTTTTTTCTTCAAATTTTTTATTTTATTTGATAAACGCTATCTTTTTACAAAAGAAATGAATAGAAAGGTACTTAGTAATAAACAATCTCTCAAATTGTATTTTGGCAAAACTATGTCGCACAAATAAAGAGTCTTTATCGATACGCGTCAGTTGCAATCGTAAATAGCAATACCATCGATTTGTATCTACATCTGAATATTTGATTATGCGCGATCAATGTTCAAATCTTTATCTTCGAATAAGACTAGAGACACACATAATATCCGTTCGTATCGAGAATATATAGAGGCGATTATTACTTACTTACGTAAGCGACATTTCATGACGTAAAAAGCGGTGCTGTCTAAAGTAAAACATAAGGATTTCGAGTTTATATATAACAAGTGTTCTTGTGTGAGAGCTATCATTCGAATGACTTCCACGATTGTGCGATCTATTAATTGTACTTGCAATATTTTCGTACTCGCCATACTCGTAATCGATATAATTATTGCAATGCATGGATTGAAAAGTTATTATTATATACATTAAATTATTATATAATCAAATTAATTATATTATAAATTAATTATATTATCTACATATATAATTATTAAATATAAGGTTTAATATATTATATATGTATATATAATATTATTATTTATTTTTCTGACTGTTTTTACATAATTCTTTATAGCATTGTGTGACACAAGAGTAAGAGAATACGTAGATAAAAACGGAAGAACTTTTCGTGTATACTTTGAAATCTACATATTGTGTTAAATTTCAAAAAAACTACAAGAGAGGGAAACTTCGACTAATCGCATGCGTTAAAAGATACACGTTTATTTGGCTAATAATACGCTTGCTAAATCAAGTCGATTGGCTCGTTTGTACATGAAATTACGCGAGTTTGTGCGCGCGTTTTGCTGCTACTAATTTGGATGGCAAATAAATATCCACACGTCATTTACGGGACTCATTCGCATGCAACAGATGAGATCAGTAAATGAAACACACCACGAGATTAAATTTCGCTATCATATGACTCGTCTGAACTCTATTTTCGGCAGTTAGAATTTAAATTTAAAATTTCTTTTTAAAAAGAACGACACATGGCATCAGTTACGTTTCGTAAACTTTTGTGAATTAATTTCTCAGAATAATTTTTCTTAATATTTAAAGAAATAATACTTTTTAATATTTTTATAAAAAAATCTAGTTTTTTAAAAACTTTTTTTAAACAAAAGATAAGATATTTTATTGTAAATATCAAATGCGACGAATAATCTGGCAAGACGTTTAATGTAAAACGTTAATTCTTAGATAATGCAGTATTACATATATACTCTATTGTAAATAATTAATAAGTTTTCTAAAAATATCTAGAGACGTTTATTCGATCTAGATATCGATTTTATTATTCGATCTGGTGAACAGATACTATTACTCAGCATAATTTAATAGGCTTTATGTATGTAAATAAATCAGTGTAATTATATCGTCAGCATTATATAATATAATGTACTACTGACGCCTGTGATTGTTTGCTAGTTGAGATTCATCGATAATTTTGCGTTGATTTTTCTCGCAGGAATTAAATATTTGTTTATTATTTTTTTTATTATTAATTATATTCTTTCTCCTTTGTTTATGAGAAAAATGTTTATAATTTTGCTCATATGATTAAACTAATGTTTATAATATCCACTAAAAAATGAAGTTAAAAAACATTCGTCTTCGCATGACGAAGCATAAATTTTTAATCTAATCTAATACGGGAGAAATATACAAGAGAAGGGGTGATAACTGAACAATTACATTATCGACATGATGATAATAAGCAATTAGCTATATAACGATCTTTATTTTAACTATGCTTTTACATTCCTTATCATCAGTCTATATGAAAACATGAAATAACTCTTACTCCTCGACATTGAAGCATATTACCTTTACGAATTTAAAAATGTGCGAGACGTAAATATTTGTATATTTTTTAAACCACAATATGCATACAAACAATAAAACATAATTTAATTCGTGTTCTCGAATTTCCAGAGATTCTAAAAGTTATAAATATATATATTTTAAAGATTTCATTATATTTTTTTCAATTTTTTTTGTTTATCATAATTTAAAAAAAAAAAAAAAGAATATATATATATATATATATATATATATATATATATATATATTGAGTTCTCTCTCTCTCTCTCTCTCTTTCACAAATTTTGGAAAATTTTTGATACGTATGAAAAAAGAGATAAATTATCTTATATATAAAATAATTTTCATTTATTTTTAAATAATGCATTCGATAGATTTTTTATTACATTATAACATAATGTTCCGAGCTACAGAAAATATTAAAGGTTGCCGCTGTTTCAAAGACCAACGAGTTTTGAATAAGAATTGAATACGTCATTCGTAAAATATATCTAGGTTGTATAAATTTCGGTAATCGGAAGCGAAATGGCGTCATCGTTGTGGTTAATGAAATTTTCTGCGGTTCTCCACGGCTCCAAGTTCAAGGTTGTTATGCTTCGTAGCACGTTCCGCAATTTCCAGCGGACACTATCGATGCCGTTTCCACTTTGGAATTACCTGACGAGGAAGTAACATTGTCACCACGTGCAAATGTGTCACGTGTTTGACTTTGTGGCGTAATAAATAAATCAAATCCACGCGCTTTTCTCTTATCTCTTCGTCGGATGCGGAAACATGTTTTGTTCTCGTTGAACATACGAATTCTTAATTTCTTACATCTTCTATCATTCTCGTGTGTATAGCCTTTTTAAAGATAAAACTGTGATCAAATTTTTGAATATATTATATTTTTAAAAAAATATAAATATTACAGAATATTAGAATAATTATATTAGGGTATTAGAAAAATTAAATTCATTTTTTCTCTACTCCTTTTATTACGTCTTGATACTTTTCGAATGCGGAGATATTTTTATTTTGCCAGTCAAGAAGAGATCTTAAATTATTATACATTCATTATACATTCAATATTCTTGAGGTTCTAAGAGCTGTTGACGAATAAAAAAATGAATATAAATATAAAAGAATGCACACTTTTATCTTATTGCAAATCATTAAGGAGATATATGATGTTTACGAAAGATAAAAAACTTGTTTTTTACAGAGATTTAAATTATTTTAAAACGTAAATATTATAAACCGATATAAAAATTAGAATATACGCTATATTGTTAATCTTTTATAAAATCTTTTAACATAAAAAATAATTATTCATATGCAAAGAGAAAAATTCCCAACACAAAAAATTGTTAATTTTTCAAATGTGCAAGCTACTATCACAGGAGCCATTACATTCGAATAAGTTTTTCGTGATTTTTTGTTAATTGTTTATGATTTTGTTTATGATAAATGTTTTACATACAAATGATTATTTACAAAAATTAAATATTTTAATAAATAATATCACAAAATATTTACATGATTTTATAAAATAGATTAATGTTGTAAAACACACACTACATGCACACACATACATCTACATGGATGCACGTCTATATATACATATATGCATATATATATATATATATATATATATATATATATATATTAATATACATATGTAATATATTGTACGATAAAAAAATTAATATGTCACAAATATCAATATGTCATATTAATATGACATAAAAAAATTTAGATAACTAATGAGATATACCGGAATATTTTTTTCGTTTTTATCTATAATTCTTTATAACAGTTTAAAAATTATTTATAATTGTTCAAGCAATTAGTAGCTATATAAAAAGCACATGAAATCTTATTTAAAAGAAACATCTTTATATAATAAAATTTTTTTATAACTTCTTTTACTTTTAATTAATAACATAAAAACAAAAAGTAGTACAATTTTAAATTTATTATTTATCAAACTAATAATCCGAACAATAAACAAAAATAATGTATTATTTTATTTTTTTAAATTTCCGAGACCTTTTTTGCTTATTATTTTCCAAAATTTTTTGAAAAATCTTTAAATTCAATTTCAATTTAGTTCTTTGCAGTTAAGAAATTACTAAATGTGTTTTATTAAGAATTTTTGAAATGTTTATGTCTTAAAGTAATTATTACAATTATAGTTTAATTTTAAGAGTTTATTTAATAAGAGTTTAATGAAAAATTTGAAAAAACCATTTATATTCTTAATGAATAGAAAATTATAGATTGCCAGAATATTCTGCCGTTAACACATTAATCTTAAAGATTTAATAAGTCGTAAGAATTTAATAAAAAATTGAAAAAATTAATAGGCAAATTGATCATCGTACGCTTGCAAAATTTTTTGACGCTATTTTTACATGGTGAAATATTTTTATATTAAGATATTTTTCTACGTTCTTAATCATCTTATCATAAATAGCTAGATTTCTGGACATTAGTCAAAATTAGTAAATAATCTTCAAGATGCAGCACAACAGGAAGACACTGAAATTGCAATGAAGATAATAACAACTGACTCATTCGTTTACGCTTAACAATGTTTGTAATCGACGATTACGTGAGACGGACCTTTAGCATCATGCTCATTAATGGAAACATAATTCGCCGAATAAATGACCGTGATGTCATCCTTACAGGATCATGAATCCTAAGAGCAACGAACTACGCACAGAGCACACTCACGCATCATCTCATCTTGTCTCAAAGTCCAGAGACTTGAGGATCATCGATAACTTCTGTTATGAAATTCATGTAAAAATGTCTTCGGAATTTTTTTTATGAATCATATTTTTATGAACTCTGATTATTATTGCAATGCATGAATCGCCGAAAATTCTTACAAATCAGCCTATATATGGTATTTAAATACCGACATCGAATGTATCGATATTTTAATTTTTACGAATATAAATCGAATATAAACGTACAAAAAATGAATCATAACGCATGTGTTAATTAATACATCATTAAAGTAATCACTAACTGACTAATTATAAAAGAATCATGATTTATTGAAATTTTCTCAC